GCACTCGAGTTGCTCCCTCATGTGCCAGTGGAGCAGAGAAGTTATCAAAAACTGCAAATAAGAAGGGCTGATTGGAAAGCTCAAAGAACAGGTGACCTACGCGACTTATCGTGGAGGTCGTCAAGAGGTACGCTTTAAAGTACGAATAAATGAAGCATTTTGCACTATTTTAGGCCATTTCAAGATCCGATGAAATTGCTTTAAATCGACCAAAAAGTGGTGATGCAATTTCCGGTGTAAGCATTTGCCTGTCCACGCATTGCCACTGTCGACAGTGGAGGCCCAGACTGGTGTCGGCTCCCCTTCAAAATCCCTCCCTTCAGCTATTCGAATCTTTTGCTAAAACTGGTTCTACACTGCTCTAATGCAATAAATTGGTACCTCTTGAGCACCATATTTGACTAACTTTAAAGGACATTATTACGACCGAAAAGTACCCAAAAAGAGATCATAACATTCTGATTTTAACGTTAGTGAAATGGGCAAATGTATCCACGCAAAGCAGTACTCCAGCAGTGCGACGAAATCAGCTTTCTGTGGTGGTCTGCGACCTGACAGGTTCTTGGATGATCCCTAAAAACATGCTCCCTTGGATTTCTGAACTTATGGCATGCTTTTTGGCAAATCACCGGTTGAGGTTGACACATCTGCAAAATAAAAACATCAAGTCCAACCACCACCCCCAGAGCACTTTGGATTTCCGTTGCGAGGCCAAATGAAGGGCGGTAGTGTTTTGCACCTACTTTACTTGTTTATGCATTGCACAGGTTCTTTTGCTCAGGTAAGCAGATACAAATGCTGTAACCCTCAAAGTCTCTGGAAGGTATTTGCTATGGGGATGCTCGAATCAAGCTGATGCCCAAACGGGATTGACAGCGAACAGAGGGTGGCCATACGCGCCGAAGCGAGCCACTGCAATCAGACCACTGGGTGTTTTCGTCGTTGCTAAAGGGCACACGCCTCGACAAGGCGATGCAACAATAGCTTTGAAACCGTGCAAAAGCTGCAAGACCTATCAAATGCCAAATGTCAATTTCATAACAGTGAGTGCATTTCTGATAGCTAATCCCACAAATATTGGAGTGTATTATGATCAGCTGGAAGCCAAATGTCTTAACGCTCGATTCAGCAATGCAATGCTATTCCGACGTCAATCAACTCAAAAAATGAAAGCCTTCTTTTCCGGTTCACTACGAATGTGCAAGTATGAAGGGTTATGCATAGTTCAATTTGACTGAATCGCGTTGCAATAATAAAGTTTAAGAGTAAACGAAAATTAACCTCTGCTGATGGGAAGGTAATGCGATAGAGCTAGATTTTCGATTAAAAGATACAGTCGATCCAATTCAGTGGTACTGAACTGATAATGCTTTAGCTGGATGCGACGATTCCATCCCTATCTGCTATTAGCCTTAAGAAATGAGAAATGCGGTAAAGGTATTATAAGAAATGAGGTTAGTAGATTATGACATCTTAAATACACCCATAGCCTAAGGAGATAAAAGGTATCACACAAGATGGAAGTTGATAAAGACTGTCAAATGGCCACGGCCACCAAACAGTAATGAAGGAGAAATTTATCCGACCACATTCTTTGGAGGAAGGGGGAGGCGAAGGAGACTGCTAATCGCGACAGAAGAAAGCTAAAAGGTCACATTTGCACAACCGCTCTGCCATCGTGGATAGGTGCGTGCGCTAGCACGTAAACGCAACTTATCCCCGTGTTATGATTGGTCACTGGAACGACCAATGAGGTGGCTGGGATCGGCACTTCGAAATCGTTCTGTAGTGCATCGCTGGCGTCACATGGATGCCTCAGAGTCAGGCGAACCTTTCAGTGACTTGCGTCTGCTAAATCTTCCCGTCCTTCATTTGCTGGTACACGTCAATTTCTTGGATTTTTCTATGCGGCAGTAAGTAATTGCCTTCTCCACATCTCATACATTTATCACAATTGCATTGCTTCATCATTAGTAAATGCTACAAATTATTTCCTTTTTAAGCAATTATTCACACTTATGAACTGGTATTTCAGTTCCTTCACGTTTTGTTAACCAATGTGAGCTGAGTAAACCCCGAAATATAGTGCTTCGCGCAGTGTGTGTCTACAATGGAAAAAGAGATCTTGATTTCAAAAGTTGCTCCAAAAACACCCAATTAAGATCAGACATCTTGTGCTAGCATCAACGGAAATAATTTTCTAAAAAAAAGAATAATTGTTTATGTATACGTCTGTGTGTTGATGTCGCCTATGCTAGGGCTGGCGCGTCTCAATTTCATATCTGCATGGGTCCGACCACAAGTTGATTTGATGACTATTACAAAATGCCAGGTTGGCGCTTTCCACACTGCTTTGTTCTTCCTATTTGCGTAACAAGCTAGATGATTTGTAGCATGTGTTTCGAATTCTCTCTTTGTCTCCCTTAGTAAACCGACATACCCCATCTCCAAGATCCTTTCTTGGAAACGCACTTGTGTGGGAAAATGATTTTATTACTACTTGACGAAATTGGGTGAGGATCTCCAGGACTGGTCAGAAGGCCCTGCTACTAAGCCTAAGTAAAAATTACGGAGATTGTCAATGTCATTCGAGAACTTGATCCCAACACTTGACTTCGCATAGCCATTGAGCAGATTGTTGTAACATAAATAGGCATTGCTTACTAAGTTGTATGGCATTTAATAGATGCTCACTTCGGGTTGTTAGACACGGCGACAGGTATAGCAAGTGAAAAGACGCAAATCACATGAACATGGTGAAAGGCACGTCCTTGCAATCACCACCCTAAGACCTTGCAGCTCTAATAACGCGATGCTCAGTTAATCATCACTGTGACATCTCTTTACCCTGGATTTGAGTTTTCGTAGTGCCAGAAGGCGGAAAAGCGCAGTAATATCAAGCCAACATCAATGCAAACACAACTGAAATAAATAAAAAAAGGTGAAAGTAAAAACAAGAACAACCAAAAACAAGTAAATATGTGGAGTAGATTAGTGAACCTCAGGCGAAACTCATGGTGTGTAATGACTGTGGCTGCATAAAAACGTGTATCGAAGTTTGAGGTAACGAAGTCGCAAGAAAAGCTTCTCCTTCCAAGTCGGCTTAACGAAAAGATGTTTGCCTATGGTGCTGTCATGTCTTGGAGTTACGCTTAAATATGTGAGGATGCAGTCACAAATCGCGAGGTTTGACTGGAGGCTTTTTTTCATGGAAGTGGGTTGGGCCTCCATCTCGAGAGTGCATACGCACTTCTGTGAAAACGCCTCCTCCTCTGTATGATATGAGCAGAGAGGTGACAGATCAACTGACTGAATGAAAGAGAGGGAGGAGGGATAAAGGTTTAGGTGAAATCCGCTTGATAAGGTGGTTTCATCTGCCACCTCTGTCACAAGACCTACTTCATGAAATACATCCATCGGTTTGGAATAGCATAGATGGGAATTGTGATCGGCGATACAGTGCTGAAGACCTCGATTACAGAGGTAAAGCGTCCTTTTTTTGCACAATTTGCTATTGCCTCTTTGAAATGCCTTCGATAAATGAAACGATCCTTGTGCAAGTTGGACCAAAAATGGGTTGAGTTGCCTTAAACACATCGGATGAATATCGCCGATCCATTTTGTATCGGTTGCCTCTTTGGACTTGTCCTGAGTCCGTTCGGGCCTTAATCGAAATGTCTCTATAAATAATTCCTCCCTCGAGACCGTGCTCGAGTTTATGGAGAAACAGGAGCTGTTAGAGGCAATGGTCTTCGTGCGAACTGCACCCGTACTCGAACCCATGAATCGAATCGCTTTTGTCATAAAGCATGCAGATGGTAGCTCGAAGTCTTTTGGGGGCATTCCACTGGGAGTAGTCGTATCAGAGTCCAAGTTATTTGTCATATCACAATCTCCACGTGGAGCCACCCACCCAATTAGTGTGTTGGCGCGTGTTCATGTTTAAAACTATTGAACACTGCATGGCCTTGAGCCCACCAATTAAGAAGGGCGAGCTGCCACGTCCTTGTGTTGTGTAACAGCACTGTGATGGAGACTACAAAGATTTGTTAAAGGCAGCCAGGCCATTAGACCTGTCACCTACATGCCTAATTAATTTACTTTGAATTAAATTGTCTTGAAGTTTAAAGTCTTCATGGCGGTGGACTGAAGGGAAGGGATTGAAGATAGCAACGTCTCTAATTTATTGGCAGAAAGTAAAAATAAAACAAATCAAACTTTGAAACCAGGGAAGTTTTGCGCGTAAGCAGCGTAGAGCGCGTGCTGTGTTCTATAGACAGGCAGAGGCATAATACACCATCCATTAGAAGGATCAACCTTGCTATCGCACAGTTTCATCAATTCAGTTGGCAGGCGAGTTCCAGGCACAAATATGAGTGCCGGCATTTCCTGCGTATTGGCTTGAGGCGCGTTTCCTTTTCCACCACCATCCAAAGTGTTGGAGGCAGGAACACTGACTACTCTACGTGGTTTGGGACGTATTTCTTCGATATCCTCCTTCATTTCCAAGGCTTTGAGCAAGTCCTTTGATTTTACGCAATTCTGTCTTCTGGCTTTGTCTAATTTCGCATCATTGTTCCTACCATTCTTAGAGTGAGCTCCCTTTCCACTACTTTCAGGTGTCTTCTGTAAGGTGCTTTCCAAATAGGTTCCGAATGAGTTATCAATTTCACCTTGTATAAAACTGGAATCCTGTCTCATCATCCTTGTTGTAGTTCCGTGGATATCAGCCCTTTGCTCCTCGGCCCTTATGAAACTTAGGCGGTCAATAGCATCGCTTCCTTCTTGTTTGTTTCCTGGCGGTTGAAGTACATCCACGCTACGGTCTAAAATAAATTGGCCATCTTTGGCTTTTCTGAAGTCTGCGTGATCTGAATGATTGATCGTAATTGAGGGGATCGACTGGTTCCTAATCTCTCCACGATAAATGAGTTGAGCGGGTGAACCGCCTTTGTTTTTGCCAGCTCGTGACCTCTCCTCAGTGCATCTGCTCCCATTCCTTATTTTTACTGCCCTGACAAACATGCCCTGGCATAGCCAAGCAGGATTTGCTTTCACCTCAACATTGAGTGCCTTAAAGGTTGACGATGGGGGGGCTGACGGTGAGTCCTTTAACGTTACCATGACGTTTTGGAACTCGGAAATGTCGGACTGCTCCCCCGATTCGCGTTGTCTTGAATCCATGGTTAGGAACAAACCATCCCGATTAAAAATATCACAACTGTTCCTATTGGTTGCAACGTTGGGTGGAATTTCTAACGCCTCTGTGTCTGGTGCAGGACTGTCTTCCTTTCCATCCGAATTTTTGTCCACTGGGTCATGGTGCACCTGGTTTGACTTTGGAACACCGGTATCTATCCCTGGTTTGTCGAATTCGCCTTCACTAATTGTACTGACGTTCATCTTTAGGGTTTCACTCTGAGCTTCGCTGTCAGCTATACTTTTACTTGAACGAATCCATAGAGTATCCTCCTCTACAGAACGAGGCTGTTCTACTTCTCCAGTGGTACTGCGTTTGGTATCATGACTAGGTGGTGGTGTCGCAATTGAATGGTCTCCTTTTTTGTCTTCTTGAGGCAGTGCCATCGACTCCAAATGAACTTTTAGATCTGCTTGAGAATTTCCACCTACTGAAATCGAGACTTCGTAGTCTGCTTGTGCGTTGCATCGCATGTTTTGAGTTATGCTGGGTGCATAGTTGACCATCTCTCGATCAGGCACCTTTTTCTCGGTGCTGGTCTCATAGTGAGGGTGTTTGGTTGTTGAATGAAGCTTCAGGAAGGACACAAGAGAGTGAGAAATTTTTTCAATCACCATTCCAGTCTGATCCACCTCATAGCGATCAGGACTGCCAAAATTGGCCTCATCATCGACATCAACTACTTCAATTTCTGTGGAAGAGCCTTTTTCTGACGACGATGACGCCTGTCTTGAGCATTCACCTGGATTCTCCATCTGATTGTCATTCATCAAGACAGCTTCCGAACCATTTGTTGATGCTGTTGTTGATGACATCTTTGCCTTCAAAGCAAACGGGGGTAATGTTTGTTCACATCTCAAGTTGGTGGTCCCAAAGTTGTGCTCGAGATAATTCGTTCGCACTGCTATGTCGCCAGGAGACCTGCTATTTTCAAATGGATAAGCGTGCGTATGAATGAGATGAGGTTCCTCTGCTTTATCCAAATGATGATGGGAAATTTCTAAACATTTTTGATTGTTTGTTGTCAAATCGCATTGAGTGCATCCCATTGCTTTTGGTGGTGAGTTCGGAGACCCGGTTTGGATTTTGCCATGATGCATAGATAGCGCATACTCATCTGAATCCGTGTAACTACAGCTGTCGATATGTCTGCACTGCGGGTACTCGAACTGTATTCCTGGGTTTAAATAATTACAACCCGGTGGGCTTTGCGTTGGTGCAGGAGAACCTGAGCTCGCCTCTATTGGATTTAGGAGCAGAATTTGTTGAGGCAAATTGGGAGAATGTGGGTGAGTTTCTGCCATTACCGAACCACATTGCAAAGAATAAAATGCTAAATTAGGGTTGGAATTAAAGGATTGATGTTGCTTTTCTGATTGATTTGGTAGCACACAACAGAAAGATCCTAGATTTGTCCCATTCACTGGAATGGTCGGAATGGATTCAATGACCGAGGGATGATTTGAAACGTCGGTGCAATATGGTGAAAGGATCACGAACTGGGGAGGTCCATCGGTCGGAGGCGTTTGATCAACAGGTGGAGAGTTGTCACTAGATTCCTCAATTGGAGTATGTGTGAGGCTGTCTGGTGATGTTACAAAAACTCTCACCTTAGGGAAACTCGTTAGTTCCTCATTTACTACGTCCTGCTGTCCGTGCAAATGCGGAGCAAGGTCTAGAGGCGGTTCTGAAGCAGGTCGGCTTTGATCCAAAAGGAGTGAATCGTCATTCTCGGTGTAAAAATTGATTTCGGTAGCGTTGTCATCTTCCTCATTTAATTTGTTTCCTTCTAAAACTGCCCTATTTGCAAGAATATTTGAGTTTTGCCGTTTTAACAGCTGAAATTGAGCTTCCAACTCTTCTACTGCGTCAACAAAGTCCATCTTTCCATGTAAGTGCTGTTGCGGTTGAGGAAACACTCGATGACCATCTATTGCTGGCACTTTCTTCTCCTTCTGAATTGATTTGCTTTTCTTTCTCCTGAGCAAAAACCTGACTTCATTCTTGAAGGGCTTCCTCTTGACTGGATCTACATCATCGAGGACATACATGTCAAGACTGTCTTTTGGGTGAAGTTTATTAGGACCTCCCGTCTCATCCAAGAGGAGGGGAGGAATACTTCCTGCTGCTGAGACAGGTTCCGTCTTTCTTAAAATCGGGTTATTCTCTGCGATCCTAAAGTGGGCTGGCTTTTCCACCCACGTGCACAAATCAAGGCTATCCTTTGCGGAAAATACATTGGAGAAGTGGTCTGATGCAAAGGGATCGTCTTCATCAGTTGTGTCAACGCAATTGGTAGGAGGCGTAATTGTGCTCATGCATGGGGCCCTTATTTCCAAATTGGCCCGTCGAAATTCAGCCCGTTTAGAGCTACCTTCCCTCGTTCCCTCACATTCCTCTACTTGACCAGTTGTAAGGATCGTTTTCTGTGTGCTACAGGTCCCTTTCTCTTCTTGTGTCGCTTTAGACGATGTTGGTGGGGTATTTTCCATGGAAAGTGACTTCGCTACCTGAACAAAGCAGACGAGATCATTGTCTGCACTTGCCATAGATGAATTGCTCACCTCCACCGAAATCACTTTGGATGTCTTTCTTTTCAATTTTCCGGAGTTCAATGTGCTTACTTCAATGGAGTTCTGCTTGTTGCCCTCTTTTGGATTGATAAAAGACATGGGAGCTTCTTTGCTTGAAGAATGTCGTGTGAACAGTTGTGATGACTCAGGAGGTGCGCGATTCTTATTAGTTTTTGAAGATTTGCCTTTAATAGGGGGAAAATCAGTTTGATTTCCCTTCGATACCATGTGCACCACTTCTTCTTCCAAATGTGGCATTTCTGTGTGCGCAATTTCAAATGGCTCGGGAGGAGTGGATAGTCCATTCGGTTTTGCATTCCAAGTGCTGTTGGATTGGGTTTTGTAGCTAGTCAGGGTTTTTTGGGTTACCACCTCCAGCGAAGGACTAGTGCTTCTAAAAGTTCTTGATTTTGAGTGTACTTTGCTCAACTCTTCCGAATCCTTTGAGGCACTTTTAGAATTTCGCTTAAAGAGCCGTTGCCAGAGCGTCTTGTGGGAGTTCTTTCTAGCCGTCGTTGGCTGCTCCATACTCGAATTTGACATATTTAAGGTCGAAGATCCAACCTTAGGAAAGACTCTTTGGTCTCTGTTTTGAGCATATAGCATAGGCGGAGCCGATCGGGCTACAGAATTAGGTGTTGGACATGCAGTTTTGCTAGAAATAATGGTCTCAGTCAACTGTGAATCTCGCTTAACCTCTGTGGACGGTTTTCTTTGAGAGGGAATAATGCTTGGTCTTTCCAAAGATTCGAGATTTGTAGTTGAAATCTCCTTATCTCTGTTTACTTCATCTATCAGTCCTTTAATACTGATAGTCATGGAGGACTCATTGCATGGTGTGTCATCCGTAAAGACAGTGTCATTGAGCATTGATAGCGTCCTCAGCGTCGCATTCTCCTTTACCACCGCACTTACATCCGATTGTTCGCACTGCCGCTCATCGTCAGCTGCAAAGGACTTAGTCGCAGTGCTGTTACCCGGTTTTACACCTGCCTTTCCACCAATTTGTTGAGCCTTTACATCGCCCACCGCAGGCCGTGGAGTTTGTGACCTCACATAAGCCCAAATAGTTCTTCTTCGCGGTTGAAGTGTGAATCGAGGGTTACTGTCGACACACTGAAGAAGAACTGATGCGGATACTTCTACATTGACATCAATGCTTGAGCTATCCTCATATGGTCCATTGAGGTCGTACAAAAACAGTCTGGTGCCCTTGGGATTGGAATGTGCTCTCCGAAGGCATTGATTGGTGTCGTTTGGGTTGTGACGTTCTGCTGTGGATGTCATTCGATTACGCTTCGGTCTCCCTCCCAATTTTGGTTTACCATTTTTTGTCTTTCTGGTCGACCGTGATTGGGACTTCACGAGGGAAATGTTAGAGCTCCGAAAATTTCCTCTATCTCTTAGAAATAGTTTGTCGGCCGGAGAAGTAGAGCAGGATCTTTTAGTTATGTGATGGTACACTCGAGCTGAAATGAGCCGTGGTGGAGAAATAGTGGTGCTAAGTCTATGATAACCCTCGTTTGTATCCAAAACCGTGAAGTCGTTCTGCTTTCTGGGTCCATAGCACTTGAACGTATCGCTTTGGTCATTGTAACGCGGAAAACGAGGTTGGATGGTTCTTTTTAACTGTCTATTTGGAGTTAAAAGGGAGCGTTTATTCGTAGTGGTACCTTTTTTTGACTTTATGCCTCCGCATTGTTTATTCAGCACTTCCATTACGCAAAATCAACACTCATTGCAGGCAGGAAAAAGGAAAAGCAAAATAATAAGAAATAGGGTCAATATATTTTTTCTCCAGAAATCACGGTGCTAACACTTCCAGTTGGTTTACCCTCCTACATCACACGAAACACGTGACAATTGATGCGAGGTATCGCCTTTTTTGAAACACCCGCTCGCACGTGGTCTGGGAAAGCAAAAACGCAGTTGTCTCAAAATGTAGCCCTTTAATTACTTTATTAATCAGCATAACGAAGTATTCAAATAAAAGGGAAAAAGTGATGTAAATGAACACGCGGCCAGCTGGACAAAGTAACACGATGCCAAGTTCACACGTCGGGGGTATTCTACGTACTCCTATCCTTCATCGTAAATTGGCATGGGTAGCATGACCCATCCAATGGGCTCTTTGTTCTTAGAGTTAGATGAAAAAAAGGTGACTCTCTTCAGACCGCCTTGCAATTGTTGCTCTGCCTCTGCTCTAACAATAGGGACTGGAGACTGATCGTGAACTTCGTCAATGAATTTGTGGGACAATCGAAGAATTGATGTTGTTGCGAGTAGAACAACAAGGTGTTGAGTGGGTGTATACAAACATGAGGCATGTTTTGCTGCTCTGCCAAATTTTCTGCCCCACTCAGTCATCGGTTTGGCTATGATTGGGGGCGAATCTCTGAGCACGCTGAAGTTGATAGCGTAGCACTCTAAAAGGTGAATTGCGTGGTAGTTTTGTCTATTAAAATTTACCGTTCTCGCTTGTTTTGACGCCCGATATTCGAGCCGAGGAAGAGGCTGACCGACTGATTCGTTGAAAACTGGACTGGAATGCCCCCTGACCCCAAAGTGAAGTCTTGGATCGTAGAGGTTGGTTGGTTCTACACCACGTAGGATGTGAGATACACTCTGAAGCTCTAGAGTTCTCGACTCCTCAGAACTGGAAGAGATGTCATTGAGCGCCGTGTCACCGCAACAATCCTTTTTGGGAGGGTGATTTGTCGATGAGTGTAGTTGTCTAAGGCCCAATCGATGGGCTAGTCTTTGAAAGTTCTCTTTTGTTCCCCTCCAAAAGTGGCCTTTCAGGGGCCCCATCCACAGGCAAGCAAACAGGCACACTTCAGTTTATAGGCGACCACGTTGCATCATCGATTCTTCTCTCATTTTTCGAAGCACATGGTCCTGCCATAACCTGAGCCACCCACGGAGGCTGACGACAATCTCTGTCGTGTACCTTTAAAGTCACTCCAGAAAGCATCATTATTGACGATATGTTAGCATTAAAAGAACTACGGTTTACTACCTATCCTGATAAAAAAATTTGAGGTGTACTCGTAATTTCAATTATGTTTAACAATGCCCAAAAACGTACAACAGTTTTGCAATTCACCCGTGAAAGTACCTTAAGTCTTGATGAAGGGTTGCGACAGCTCTTCAATGCTTCTTTTTTCTTTCGTTAGGAACTAAAAATTCTTACCTATTTTTCCGTTGAGGTTAAATAGGCAAAAATTTTTCCCCAAAGCTAAAGGAGTGTGCGCTTGTTTGGTTGATAGCCATCTCGTCTTCATCGCCCAAAGTCACAAGGTGCACACCTACTTTTTTCCTACTATCATCTTTGACTCCGATAAATAGGTGGATGGCAAAAGGCAACACTTTATGTCATAGCAGGATTACCAGGAGGTGGAGAGCCATTGGAGGTAAAGGGAAGGAGGCGGATAATTCATGTAGCCACATTTCTTCCAGATGCTATCAACAATGGTCAGTCGTCTCATATGAGTCATTTGGCTGCATCTACGGCGAGCTTCCGTTTCGCTGGGAAGTTGGGATTCATTGCCAGTGGACTCTTTGGCCATGCCACCTCACATGCACATGCACTGTTCACACTTTTTAATTGTCTAATGATATCATTCCAAAAATTTTTATCCGCATGCTGGTAGGTACAAAGTCCTCTGTGGAATGCGAAGTTATGCGCCAATAAATTGTGTGGTTCCGGTACATTTTGAACTATACCAAAACTTGTGTCTTCCCACTTTGCAAAGTAGCTTAAGACAATGACATTTATGCGCTTACTGCAGTCGAAAACTTTTCCGGATTACAGGTAAAGTGTGAGCGAATTCATATCTGTGGCACATGGTGCATGTACTAATTGTTAATTCTTGTGCCATCAATTCTATGAAACGTCCCACAACCAAGTAAATCACTGTCTTGAAAGAGATCGCCATTCGGCTGAATTCCACTTCGTCGGAATTATCGACCACAGTAGATTTGGAAGGTGCAATAACCCCTGCAAAACTTGTGTTCATCGGCGAGATCACTGAAACCAAGTGTCAAGCCAAGGTGCGCGTCAAAATGGAGGGATCTGACGCATTCTTTCCGCTTCCCAGAGCACTGTTTTTTAATAGTTAACAAGTTTACTTGCCATATGATGCCACAAAACTACTGTAAAAGCTGAGCCTAGGCCAGGCTACTTCTTCTCCTCTAGTAGCGGCTCTTGCACTTTTCTGTAAGAATCAAATTATCCATATAATTGTTGCGTTCAAAAGCATTATTCAAAGACCAGCAGTACCGTCTTCTCTATTGAATAGGCAGTTGTGAGAGAGGAGAACGGCTATTGTTTTGGAATAAAGGAAAGAGAATCGGCCGAAGCTCGTGGTGCAGATGGAAGGCCACACGATGAGTGCACTGAACCCGCGCCCCGTGGGGATGAACCACTTGGGTCGGGGCGCCTACACTACCTTCCGCTCACCGCCTCCCACCATCTACTCTACTGCACGATTCGACAACTTACCTTCAAGCCACCGCGGCAGCTTTGACAACGAAATTTCCCTAGTAGGTGGCACCTTATCGGTCTATGTTATGCTTCTGGGGCAACAGAAGAATAACAGTCGAGGAGAGGAACTGTCATTTCTCCTTATAAATAATGGACTCCAAGCCGTAATGATACGCATGATAGGTTACAGATGGCATGGGAACGAAAATGTCATCGCCAAAATCGTCACCATCAGTTCGATGTAGAGTCATCAATGACATGTCGGCATCGGTGAATCAGGTGTCATTGTTGAGCCTGCAACCTCCATCAACATGAACTTGTAGTATATAAAGCCTAAATGTAGATGTCTACCAGCAAGTGCCAAATGTGGATTTCTTGATAGCATAAGGTTAGAAAGCACTACTGAGTGTTGCCTCCATGCCTACATCTTACACGGTTGTCTAACATCTTGAGTAGACCAGGGCAAGTGGGTGGTATGTTGACCTGTGGCCAAAATAACTGACGCTCATATCTGGGAACCCCAAAATTGTTCTTTTCAGCAAGAAATCGTAAAGGTAAACTGACCTCTTTTTAGGCTTGATGCTTTTTATTTAACTGAAACCCTTATGGTTTAATGTTGTGAATGTTATTGTGTTTCGATTCCATCATTTGCCTGTGCTAGGTCGGAGGTGCTTCTCTCACCTCCTCCTCTCCAGAGGTTCTGAAGGGCTAAGTGGGTAGCAAGTGTGACGATTGTATCTTAATGAGTGCAAGTGCTAGCTGTGAAGAAAGTCACAGTTTGGCATGCCAAGATAATAGGCGTGCCAGTGGTGAAAAAGGCATTTATCATCGCACGTAATAAAATAAGGCGTAAATTTCATTGGTCTGATTGTCAACAAAGACAAGGTAGGAGAAGTTGGGGGTCTCCAATGCCGAACTATAGCCACAGTCTCCTCGACTTTCAGTCATCATCCTCCCCAACTTCTCCTGGTAAAATGATGGCAAAAAAGTGCGGCGTTAGTTGAAATGAAGTCTCACTTTGGACTGCTCAAGTTACCAGCTCCACCTTCTTGAAACGTTAGGCTACTCACTCCGAGGTGCCTATTCATTTTACCGCATTAATTTGAGGATCAATGCTTATTAAAGAGCAAATTTTGATGGTGCAACTTGATCGTAATTATCAAAGGACACCTTCATCAGTGAGTGATGGCATTATTACTGATGGAGCTTCAGAGTGAATACTCCGAGGCAATAAAATCTTTCTATAACTTCACCAAACGTTACGTGGGCCCTTGCCACAAAGGATAGTTACGATTATGTCAACATGTGGAGGACTTTTTAAAGGTTGGTCTTTAACGCAACGACAAGGTGGCTTGTTTCCTTTGTTCCTCTAATTATGCAGCTATTCTAATGTTAGCTTATTTATTCGAATCCTTGATGAGCAAATAAGCTTTGGATTAGGTTGATTCTTCCAAATACCCTAGGGTGCTGGATTTTGAGTTTATGTTGCTTAAAAGGGGAATTAAACGAAAAACTTCCTCACATAGAGGGATAGAAATAATCGCTTCCGTCTTCATTCCGATCTTCCAGGTGTCCAGTCAGTTAGGGCAAACCAGACTGGGCGAGACCGCGCCTGATTTGATCTCTGCCCAAATTCACTTCCCCAAATGGTATCACAGCACAACAGGCGCTAACGGTGGCAGTGGCTGCAGCGGTGGTAGCGGGGGAGGAGGCCAGCGCTCCTCATCACTTAGTCCCAAACCCACCGAGCCGGCGGTGCAGCTGGCCTACCGACCGCCTACGCCGCAGGTGCAAGCACAGATGCCGACACCGACACCAACGCATCGGGGTATCCTGAAAGGCCAGAGGCCTCCCTCTGAGGCAGGCGCTGATTCACCTCGAGGCGGATTCACTGGGCGTGGCTTCTGGGACAGTGTCGAACTCAGCAGCGAAGTTCACGACAGCTGTAACTCAATCGCCTCCTCTAACCTAGGCGATTCACTCTCACGCAAAACGGTCCGCTTCGCTGATGGTAAACCGGCCATGTCAAGCAGGACAACGCAAGTGCCCTATGGTGAGACATGATGCGCTTCCATGATCTGCACTCCGATGCCTAAATATTTATCTGAAGCCCGATGGGAAAGCCATTTTAAGAGTAAATATGCTGGAAATCCATAGGAAGACCAGGAAAATGCAAGGTTTAGCGATGCTCTATCCAACCCTTGTGGTAGTCTAAGCATTGGCAGCTGCAAATGGGTTCTTGATTTCTGTCCTATTTGATCGTCATCTTCTCCACTCTCCATATCCTCTCTCGTTAGCATTTGTGAAAGTACCCACAACCAACCAACCTTTTCACTTAATTCCTTCGAGAGCAATGCTTTTGAAAGCGGGTGGATCAACTAACAACCAGTCTGTAGTTAGAAAATCACGGAATTCCAAAAAGCAGGACCTTCCGTCCATTAGCAATAGGGAATGGTTCTCCCATCCTCACCCCACTTATGGAAGACGCTATTCTAAAGCGACACTGATATAAACTTTGCGATTAGCATTTGCAGCCCTTAAGACTCGAAATTAAAGCGGTTACAAGAAACGAATTTCGATTTAAACCGAAAAAGCCTTTTGAATGGCATTTAACGGGACCGCCCCCATCATTGTTAATTCAAAACTTGGACAATCCTTGACAGAAGTAGAAAGCAAATGAGCTGACAATTAGCGTGTGTCCGCAATTGGATGCCTTTAAAAATGGTCACAGCCTCCAAAATACTCCAAATAAACGGAGACAAATAATTCTATTCTGTGCAAACAGTTAAGCACCGTATCAAAAGTGGCGTTTTAACAAGAGTTAGTGGAAGGAGGTCCTATTTGCTGCTGCAGTTTTAAAGGAACTTGAACTATTTTTACTCGCTCCACAGATGTGGAGCAGCAAACGATGCACTTTAGGCAAATTTATGGCTAAAGAGGCAATAAAAGGGGGATTTAGTACAGAATTGGAATTTAGGGCGAGAAATGCTCCGATTAGCGTTGCGACAGTTGAAAACCAGAGGAAATTTCGTGAGTCGCCCATTGGTCGAAAAGATGCGTTTACGGCGATTAGTGGAGCATATCCGGTTGTCAAAATTAGCCGTCAAAGCGACTCAAAAGGTTTAACCAACACGAGTTCTGATTTAGGTTTCGTACTGTGACAAAATTTTCCCTTTTTTTCAATTATCTACTGTTGGGCCAGTCGTCTGAAACTTGAGGACATTATGCATTTGTCTGCATGCCAATTCCCCATCTTGGTTACAAGTTTTCACTTATTTTATGAATGCATGAAAGAATTTAATGCATTTAGCCTGACTTGGGGTTTCCTTTTCTCCCTTGACCTGAAATGCTCTTGGCAAAACAAGACCCTCCGTTCCTTAGATTAGCTGGATTGTTGGGTCATGTGGGACTGTCAAGGTCTACGAAAGTTATTTCAGCCATAATGGAAAGGAGTCATTTCCGCGTCATCTTGAGCATTTCGTCCAAGAAGGGCAACATCCCTAAGACACAAAGCAGCAGGCTAGCCTTAGCCTCCAGTTCTAAAGAGAACGTAATCAAAACACAAAACTAATTTTACGCGTGTTTCGTGGCAAAACATGCAGCAAAACATCACTGAACGTTAATAACGTGGTTATGCATCAACTTCTTTCTTTATTTAATTATCACACTCAAAGAAATTGTGTTTAATTGCATCCGCACACACACATGCACACACATTTTGTGTCAGTTATTTTAAGGCGTAATTTGGAGGCATGAGGTGGAAATAAAATTTGGATTTTAAAACTCTCAACGGTGTATCGAAAGCAAATGAACCAGGATTTTGCTCAGAGAAGTAAGGTGGAAGCATTTCAATAGGTAGCGGGGCATTTTATACGATCAATCTCCAAAAGGACTGCTTTATTTCAGTTAAAGGTAGTAATAAATGAATTCGGTGTTCGTGATGGTGCTTTACAAACACAGATTGGTATCACAAGTCAAGCCTATGAAAGAGTTTTCACAAAAGGGCGGTCAAACCTGAGGACGTTAGCAGCAACTGGCGAAAGACTCCCAAGCAAAGACGCTCTCGCTTGATGGGCAGCGTTCGCTAAGATAGGAAATCGCCGTAATGTGCACAGTTGTGGGATCAAATGTCTTAAATGCCTTAAACCTCCTCGAAGTGCAGTTTGTTGCATCAACATAGTTGCTCACACTCCTGACACATCGTTCCTGAGGATCATAAGCGACAAACGGCGCCAACGGGGATTTTTTCAGCCACCCAGCGTCTGTATCAGTAGCAGGCACAGTCACTTCGCAATTCTTTGCTAACTAACAAGTGGGAGTAACATTCTTGACCCTATATGATTGCAATTATTACTGATTTATCAATCTGCTTGTTTACATTTTCGCATGATTACGTGGAATGAAGTGTTAGAGGCTACACTTGCGCGATTTGCAGCTTGGCCATCTGAAATGGCCCATGCCATTATGCATTTCCAGGGTCATTAAACGAGTTAAGGTCCCTTAACACTGTGCCGCGTAATTGCGTTGTTTTAAAAAGAAATCTATGCAACTTTTTGCAAGTCACAACAATTTTATTGGGTCATAATTATTTTGTGTTGATGAAAATTAAGGATGATTTCGATCTTGTCCACTTTATAATTTTGATCTTTTGGAAGACTCGGTTCGAGGCCCCACAGTTCGTACGAACGGTGCCATAGCTCAGGGCATATACGAATGGGAGCCAGAAGAGGGTCTAATGATTCCCGGTCGAACTGCAAGAGACCTCAATAAGCCGCCTAGACCACCGAAAATGCGTCCCACTCACCGACTTGAGCGGCGCATCACTACAGACTGTGTGGGCCTACCCCCACGAATTGGCTACCCACCAACAGGTGAGAGCGAAACTGGCACTACGCCATTATCATCACCATTGGAATACATCTCGTTGGGGAGTCTTGGGAATGCAGCAACACCGACAGGGTCCATGGATGACTCCTATGCCAACTACGAAAGCATTTACCGCAATCGAAGTCGACGAATGTCAGAAAGTGGGGCGGTGGAGAGGATAGACAGCCAACGTCTGGACGTCCTCATGAGGCCCTACATGACCTCAACGAACCCTGAGGCGCCAACTGTATCTTCGCCACACCCGCCTCTGCTTCCTCCCTCAGGTTCTTCTGGTGGTCCCATCTATCGAACGGAGGTGAGACACCGACCTTCCATTGGCGACACTTTTGTTGGACAGCAAAAAAATTTCGTGAGTTCCTTCACGGTGGTAAAATGTCCCTCCATCCTGTCAGCCTCTCACTACTCATGAAGCCCTTTGTAATTCGGTAAATATGACTAGTGCAGTGGTTCAGTGAACACAAGAAAAGGTTATCGAAAAGGTGCATTGTTTTTATTTCAGCGATCCCTGATTAGACAGAAAACCGGATTTTAGTAGTTCACCATACAAGTTTGCAACCAAAATTAAAGCTCATTTACTTTAATGTCGAAAGTTTTCCGGAGATATGCAGAGGAAACAGCGTTTTGACGGTGGAATTTGGTGCTGAGATGTAGTGCATACAAAAGGGTTTAGAATAGATAGGAAACTTTTGTCTGGAAAACTGAAAAGATGCGAACGAATTGCATGTGGTGGTAATTGTGTTGAGGCAACGCAAGTCAACGATTTCATAAGTCTCAAAAGGCTGGTCAATGCATATTTAGGGGAACCAGTGGAAAGTAAAAATTAGCATTCACAGAAAATTGCGCAGTTCATTTCGAAAGTTCTATCCCCCAGAGGCTGACTTCGGTGTCTTACTTTACTCCTAGTTCCCTGTCACACCTTATGTCACAGAAAGTCACCGCTATAGCCTTACACACTTGTTTGTACCCTTCACCGCCTTCTCCTTTGGGTGGGAATTTCGGCCTACTCTTTCTAGTGTATGGTTTGAACCTAACCTATTCAGGCTTGTATTCCTTCACTACCTAATTTTATATTTCCTGTTCCCTGGTTCCATTTTGGCATACACCCTTAGGAGTGGGAGGAAATTCCTTCCGGTTACACAGATTCTTGAAATCCGGCTAAGAAGGTTGGCCAATATGTTGCTATTTATTCCACTTACATCATGGATGATTTGGCAGACAGACAAACGGTTACCGGAAACTCGTTTCACTAACCAAGGAATGCAATGATTTGATCGACTGCGTTGGCGTTAAACCTCCCATGTATCCCTCCTCTTTGCAAATGTCACGCATTCCACGAGGATGGGAGGACCTGCCAAGACGTCCAATCGTGCAATCAAATTTTCTCACAAATTTAACGTCAGACTGGTTAATTCTTTTCTGCTAGAGGGTAGGCAAAAAAAGGTGGTAACAAAGACCTGCGTTCGACTTCAGTAGACATCGCTTGCATAGGCAAAAATTCCACCTTATGTAAAAAAGGAATGCCTTCTATATGGGACGATTTGTGCTGTAAAAGTAAGGCAGTCTTCTTTCGCCAAAAGAATGCACGATATTTGCAGCTGTTAGTGCTGGCGATGTGCTTATGCTAGGTGGCAAAGAGAATTTATTGTTACAATTTGCAGTGAGAATGAACGTGGCTAGCAGAGGCCCGGTAGCTAAGTGGCTGGTCTTGTGACCATTTGGTGAATCCTAGCCCATTCCTCTATCATCCCGTTGTAAAAAAAATTGAGAAAGTGTCTATGATAGCAAGGAGAAAGAGGTATCACATTTGACAGCAGCAATTCCTCATGGCTTTTATCTTTTGGTCTTTGTCAAAGGACGACTCTCATTCAGCACGCAACAAATTTCAGGACAGCATTCTGTTTTAAGTGATGGCACTTTAACACAAAGGAATAGGCGACATCAGCCACAAGTTTACTGACCACAGCTGAATGAAAGTCAGTCTGATGGTTGAACAAATGGTCTTTTTAAAGAAAAGGTATCGGAAGTCGGAATAATAAAGGCTCAGAGGCTTGAAATCATATCTGTGGCACGTGTCTGCCGTTTTTCTTCCTTCTGCCACTGGAAAGTAAAAAAATGGTGCATTTTCATGTACGTTATAATTAATTGATTGAGAAAAGGTTTGACCACGCTTTTAGCGGCCATAGAGACAGCCCCTGTAATGTGTAGCATTCGACTTTCGATAACATAGCGCACAAACAAGGGCAGTTGTCTAACTTCAAGAGGATTTTGGGGGAACATGATCTCCTTTTATTCCTTAATGCCTAGTAGGATTCGCTATTAGAGGTGAAGAACAAATGTAGGATGGCAGTAAGGTCGAGTCCTTGGTAAAGGTTCATGGAACGATGAGGCTATTGTTAGAGGCGTCTAAGGCACTGATACAACAGTGAAGTCGTCTTCATTGAATTATATAGGTCAAGATCACCGATTTGCAACCACCGCCACCATCACAGTCAGCACCTCCTTCCCCTCCCCTACCATCAACGTCCTCAGCTCCGCTTCACTTTGTCTACACCGTCAAACCATCACCTCATCGACGTGTTGTCGATAGTGATATCGAGGACAGCTTCGACAGGATCGACCCCGGGTTCGTGGATGATACAACATTGAGACCGCGCTCTCTCCAGAGCCTCACAACTCCTCTAACACCGCGAGTTCTAGGGCCGGCCAGTATCCCTATCCCCTCATTTGGGAATGCCAACCGAGGCACGCTACCGCCAAGGCTAATGAACAGTCGCGAGCAGCGGGTGAAGCAGCAGGTGCCAACACAGACGCAGCAAACAAAAAGGCATCATCCTTTGCGGGTGGAGGTGTCTCATGTAGGCTGCGAACGTTAGAATAATTTAAGACAAATCAATATGTTCCCTCCTGATTCATAATGAAAAAGTTAAAATAATGCTTATTTGTGGCCGGAGTAGATATTACCAGCACTTCATACCACAAAGATGCCGAACATTGTCGTCTCCTCTATGTTTGAGCATCACTTTTTGGTGATCCTGATTGCATCTGCAGGTTACAAATCCTTCATCCAAGGAAACAGAGACCCTACAACTCATTTACAGCATAAAGGATGGTTGTTAAATTTCCCATTTTTTGCCTAAATACCTCATCCTTTGGAGCGTAAAGTGAAATAATATCAGCTGGTAATTGCTTAATGGGGAAGAATTCCTGTAATCTTCTCTTATTCGCAAGAATGTCTACTTGAAAGAGGGGAACACGAATTTAAGCTTTTGTCTTAAATGCAGCAACCTGGACCCTCTCAACAGTGAACATTATTGCTAAGTCTGTAGTTTGTGTACTTGTCGAAGGTCAATGCTGTTTCAAGAAGCATTCAGCACTGATCTCTCTCAGGTTCAATTAACCTCTACAAACATCACCTTCCTCTGCTGTTGGGATCCAAAAATAAAGCTAAGCAACAAAAATTTTTCTCAGTTTCTACAGCATCTATTTGCCGGTGGTGTCGATAAAAAATTCAGTTGCACCGATCGTAGCGTTTGCCATCCAGGAGAAAGAGGAGGACGCTACGACGACATGCGAAGATGCTAGAGAGTGAGCAGACAAACGTTTCTTCATCACACTTTTCGATGGTTTACTGCCGGTGGCAAAATAACAAGTTCCGTTTCAAGGAGCAACTAATCATTACAGTAGCCGTTTGTGTACTCGTTATTGCAAGAATGTTCCAAAACTATAAATAAACGGACAGGTGCTTTTAAGTGCCAATAAACCCTCATTTTGGGCGAGATTTTGCAGATGTTTGTGAAAATGTCTCCAAAATGCATGTGTGGAGTGAATTTCGTGGGCGCACGTTTCTTCAACTCCACATTGCATGCGCCCAACTTTTTTGATCTGTGCACTGTGGAGGAGGGAATGGAATTGCATGATGAGGGATTGGTGGCATTTTTTGCTGAAGAAAGGCGTTTGCCTTCTAATAGATAGAACACAATAAGCCATACTATCGAATTGAAAGGCTTTCACATCGTCCTTTCACCTCTTGACACAGGCTCTAATACCACCAACTCGTCTTCGATGCCTTCACTTCCTTACTCCACTTGCATTTTCCAAAGCTCGACGCGTCTCTCTTAACAGAGTTGTTGAAGTTAAAGTGATAGACTAAGTGTAGAATGTTTGTGGTTCCAGGGTAAATGATTTTGTTTCTCAAGTTGTGGCCCGATTGGTCAAAAGTGGTAGAAATAGGCGTCAACTTTAAGTAGCGAAATAATTTGATGAATGTAACGGTCAAGTTGCCCATGCCACTCCATCGCCAATCATTCGCTACTCTTGTCATACTACAATAGCAATCATTGCTGTAAAAAGTAATTCTTTGCAAACCGCTTTTTTGCAACAGTGAATCCTTGTGACTCTCGTAAACTCAAGATCGACCCTGCATAAACCTCGAATGTGGAAGTTTTGCCCTGCTACGCTCTCCACCTAAGACACTTCACGATTTTGCATGTAGAAATGTTACAGAATGCAACTAACTAAATAATTCTCTTCATAAAGTGAATGTGTATTCTTAATTCAATCATCGAACAAGAGGTTCCATCTTCTCAAGTACTGCCAAATGTGAAAAAGTCTCTAATACCTTTCAGCCAGCAGTATCAAGGCCTGTTCCCCTCCTAAATGGTAAATCAGTGTTTCCACTAAATGGACCGCCTTTCACGGATGGTACTCGCCGTCGAGGCAACGGTGCAGCTGAAGGGCATCAATCGGCAGACTTGAAAACAGGCAGCCTTGATCGAGACGGAGTGTGGCGGCCAAACCGCCTACCCATGAACCTTGGCGTTGTCGGAAGCAGTGCATCGCCAGCGGCACATGATCTGGCCTACGCGCCCTCACCCTTCTTTGATGACCTGGTAAGTGGTCGTCTGCGATCTGATCGCCAACATCATCGCCACTCAGAACGCTTCTTCTCGCCATTTGGCACTGGCAGTGGAGGTTACGAGGTGCCCATTTTCGTGGTGCGTCCCACCGCCACATCTACTTCCACTCCTTCCTTTCGACGTCGGAACCTCTCGCCCAGCAGCAGCAGTTCTCAAAGAGGTGCGTTTTCAGATTTTGTTGGCGTCACTTCCGTGCCAACATTGGGCAAGATCTACCAGCAGGAGATCATAATTATAGTGCTCAGTCACCTTCAAATGCTTTGGAGGGTTCGCGAGTCCAACAAATACACGATTGATATGTATAAGGCATTGGATGTCACAGTCAATGTTGCCTGCATTTATTCCTATTCGAGTGTATTACCGTAAATGTTCAGGTATAACTGTTTTGGTCAAAAGGGGATTTGCAGACCTGGCCGTAAAAACCACTCCGTCTCAAAAAACCCTCTTACAATTAATCATGTTAAAAGCAGTACTTGAAGGTTTATTTGTCGACAAAGCTTTTCTTGCCCATTCCTCCTTCGAAGACTGCGTCCAATCTCTATTGCGGCTGCTCACCCTTTAACATTTGATTGCTGCCAACTAACAAGTCGAAGTAACTATTTGAATCGCACGATTGTCTGGGAGGGCACTCTGAAGGACAATAAAGGGTGGCCCAGGCCGGGCGGGTCTCCGGTAGTGTGGCGAGACTGAAGGCACCAAAGTATCCTGATTGTCCCAGTGCTGCCCTGGAGGCAAAATGGAATGCGTGTAATGGAAACGAAGGCAAATATGTGTTGACATTCCGTCTCTGCAATGATTTTCACTTTCTCACACGAGTATGGATAATACTTACATACAGAAAATAGGTCCAGTCAGGTCTACAATGACAGCAAAGTTTATTCAATGAAAGTCAATACGGAAAACAGAGTGAGGAGCGAAATAATTTCATAAATGAATTTTAATTTTGCCTCACTATGCTTCCTGTTTTAAATGCTTTTTATGGTAGGCTTCCGGGAAGGTTTGCACACTGTTTCGGATGTGTCTTCGTTCCTTCCTTATAATGTGGCAAATGGTATGAGACGAAGCGAGCACTATTGGGGAGAGAGGTTTGATTGCTACCCTGTAATTTGAGCCTTTTTTGCTAAAAGTTGGTAGCCGTCTAGGACTGTCTTACACCACCACTCCTTGTTTTTGCAAGCAAGCACCTTATCTGCCCAACAACCATCGTTTCCTTACCGAAATGTTAGAAAGAAGAAATGTCGGGTTAAAATGCTGCTGAGTCACAACAATTCACTGAGCTGTTTGACCACTCCATCGCGTTTGTTTCAAACTGATATCTCATTGACTGTCTCCCATTCAATGTCGGGTGCTAGAATATGTGGAGAAAATGTGTGTGCTTTGCGGTTTCGCTTTCCTCCTCAGGTTTCCATAAAACCACCAGATGAGATTAAATTTGAGCAATGAATCGTGAGAAAACTTGCATTTCGAGGGATTTATGGCGCTTCGCTGCCTTGCCACAATTTTCACAGATTGCATGCAATGGGCTAAATTTGCGTTCACGCAAACTCATCCCCTCGATTCGGGTACACCTTTTAAGCGAAAGTTGAGCGCAAAATAGGCAGGAGTCAAGCACTTCTCCACTTTATCACTCCTGATCATTAAACAAAGAATCTAAACAGACCTCACAAACACACAGAAGGACTAAGATGGTAGTGGCAAATGCCAGAAAAAAACAACCTTCTTTATAAAGTGAAAAGCGGCAGAGGTAGAGTTTTCTCACCTAAAAGTAACGTATGTATTTTAGCGAGGATTAAAGGGTCAAATGAAAATAAATATGCTACTAAAGGATTCCTAAACTAGCCATCAATCAACCAGAGAGTGAATAATAACTTGAGGTCGGCGTTTTTCTGCATTATGCCTGAACCAGAAAGTAGCGTGACTGACCATGAAACCAACCTAAGGTCACTCTGACCCTCTGGACGACGTTGCCGCTCCCTCTGCCCACCGACATAAATAAGTTCTAGATGACTTTAAATGTGTTTATCACCCGACGTATGTGAGGGACCTAAATGTGGATGTACAGGCCCTTTTTACACTCAAGTCTCCAATTATGCAGCAGGTATCGAGGCTACTGAAGGCATGGATGCAAATCTTGCGCGGTCTCATACTGGCGTACGTCGTAAGTAAAGCATGGCGTAATGATCCAAAGGAAGGCGTCTTTCCTCTCTCGCTTTCACCCATCCAAAGTTCGCTTGACCTCAACCAGCTAAAGTACAGGTAAACTGAACTTCGGCATCTTTTTTTGTTCTTCACAAAGACATCGTTATCACAAGACTAGGAGCACTTTCGCATTTTGTATGCATCGCTCACGTCATTGCAGTCGAAAGTATAAAGTGCTAGTGCTTAAACTCCAAAATTTCAATGACTTCTGAGTCTATTTGACAGAATGAAGTTCTCTCACTGGGAAATCTTAACTGAAGAGACCATGTGGGAGTTGGAGGTAAAAGGATGTTAATGAAGCGTGCAGCTTTGAAGATTATGCCCTGACGAGGCTTGCTGCCGTGGCAGTCCCCAGCACTTGAGTGGGAAGCACCCACTCAGTGTTGACCCAGCATTCCAAGTCAAGTGTATCATCGCTTCGTCAACGATTTTTGACTTAAAATAGAGCATAAAAAATTGAAAATCGTGTGTGTGAATCAAAACGACAACCACTTTTTAAGACTTCCCTTTATTACCCGCCTTCTACCACTCTTCCTTCGCTCAAGAGGAGCCAAGGTGCGCCTTTACAGCTCGATTAATTTGACGTTCAAACTATTTTCGAGCGTTGAAGACATGCATACGTCTGAAAGCTCCACTAATTTAACCAGTTTACATGCTTCGGAGTAGTTTTCCATCCATCGTTGTTGTTTCACTCTTCCCAGTTCTTGGCATTAAATACATAGAGATTGGTTTTCTGTCTGTCGACATGGTAGTTGTGACATAACAATGAAAGTGTACTGTTTATCATGACAAACTAAACAGATGAACAAAGCTTTGCCCTCACCATGGGCCTATGTGGGGAGCGGATGACTCACTTTTCCATCTGAAATGGCGCCAGTAAATTGCCTCGAGAACACTACACAATGCACGTTCGAATTTCCGTTTGTTGGCAGTATTTCATGCAACCAAGTGGCCATCATTTTAACGCATCTGTCGATGTCCAACAGGCTCTGTCAATGTCAAATTGGAATCAGGTCTTTGGGATGTGACAATCTGGGTGTCCCTCCTTATCCCTTGTGTCTTGATGCCCAAATATATCCCTAGGCAATCTGAACGTCATTGTTCGCAGTATAACCTTCTTTGTATACAGAAATGCCTAATTTGGTGGCATTTTGGCAGAACCATCTGCACCACATTTGCAGCATTATGATAACAAATCGTCCGCAACAGACTGCAGTAATGCCAGCATAAATGACCTTAGGGGAGATTCATTGCTCTTCCAGCCAGTCAGTAGAAGGCGAAACTCTTTCCTTTACCTACACAGATGTAAACAGGTAAAAATGGACATTCGGGTTCATTTTCGCTCACTGCTTTCGAAGATCTCTTTTGCAGCTCTCAAAGGTCCTCTAGGAGATTATATAATTATGGCCTTAATTAGCCATGTTAAGGGCACTAAAGGACGAGCTTCTGCTGTTTTCCTCCTCTTCCTCGGCGGCGCTTCTCAAAGCATCCCGAAGGAAAATGTGCCACCACTGCTGCTCAGATGTCGAATGCACCGATTTCGTTACTTTTTTAATGGCCTTAACTGCTACTCAAACAAAGCCGTTATCCACGAAACCCACTTTACCGTCCTGATCTCAGGCAGTCTCCCTCTCGTGCATGCTCTTAGACGACTCTTCTTTTGTAAACTGGTAAGAGGCCCACATGGCAGAATTGTGAAGTGAAGGTTGTCTTTGAACAACCAAGTTGGTCACCCACGTGAAGGAGCAATGTAAAATCTACAAAAAATGGAAGAGACAAGTCGATTATGTCGGTTTATCGTTCGGTTGCTTCTTCGGCGAACGGGAACATCCAATCGGCCTTGGACGGCTGAAAAGCCTCACCACTGCTTTACCCAACTCTAAAGGATATGTTTCGGCACCTTTGGAGGACCAACTCCAGCGGTTATTTAAAAAAGCACTGTATTTTGCAATACATGATCGAATTTGCATTCCATTGATTGTCATGAGGAGCACTTAACGTCAACTGCAGACGAAAGATGTCTTCACCGCTCACTGTTTCAGATAATTGTCATCTGATGTATTTAGGAGAAACAGTGAAGTAAAAATTGTGGCATGGAAAGAGAACTAATACTTTGTGCTGATGCAACAAAATTTTCGTCTCTTGTGGTCAGATTCATCTTTCTTACGCCGAATTCAAACGGTACAGTCTAAACGTCTTCCACCCTCCAGAAAGACAGAAATGCCAGTTCCGGCTCTCTCAGTTAATTAGCTGAGCGACTGTTTTCATTTTGCATGCTCACTTCGGTAGAAGTGGAGTGAAATAGGGCGAAACGGAGCTATACGTTGCCTAAGAAACTGAACGGCACATTCAAGCTCAAATGAATGCGTTTTCAATTCCCTAAACTAGGCCGGAACCGCCAGACTCGATCGAAAAGAAAAAGTCAAAGTTGACAATGAAAGCTCCACAGTTCCTTCTCAGGAAAGGCGCACTGACATGCGAAATTCTGCGCGTGACGTAAAATGTTTCGTTTTACGTGCACAGCTCGTAAAAGTAGTCGTGGTAGGTAATAATCTAAAAATAAAGGAAAATTATACTTGAACAAAACCTTAACCCATGGAGGTACTTAAAAGTCTTGAGAGCATAAAATAGCACAAGTCACAAGGACGGGCGCAAGAGGACCTCGAAACTGAGCTACTTGGGTCCCCTTTGGGGCTTTATTCAGCTAATAAGCCTCTAGAAAATATTAATTTTGAAAGTACAGGAGAGGTGTATCTTCAACAAGAAAGTCAAGAGTGAAATGTGAAATATGGGTAGATTTCTTTCGACAACAAACCATTGTTTGCATTGAAAGTTCCACCATTTTGTTTGATGGTAATGCTACTACATCCTCATTCATTTCAATTTGGCAGGAACGAATGCAGCAAACATACCCATTAAGAAGAATGTAATTGAAAAGCCATGACGAAGCACAGAGGCCTTTCGTTATTTCGTCATTCGAGCTAGTTTGGCATCAACGGAGAGTTATTTTCATCAAAACCTCCCATGGACGAGGCAACAAGCACGTCACGCGACCACTCTGCCTCGGAACTTGGTTTTTCTCTTGTCCCTTTTCTACATGCCAAATTTGTGTATTAGTATTCACATCCTCGTTTCCCCCACCACCGTCACCCCATATTTTCTCCTGTATACGAGAACGAGATTGACAAATCAATGTGGCCTATTGTTTTTATACGTCTCAAGGCACCGTACTGCTGCCCCCACCAATATTGGCACCGCACATTATTCACTGGGCCCCTTTTTTTGATTCGTAGCACACACATCACCTACAGTGGCGAAATGAGAGTCCTAACTTTATCACACGCAAATAAACCTATGCGTATTTTACTTAAACTTGGGAGTTCGAACGAGGATGTAGCTCAATTTGCCCACTTACCGTGGGAATGTGAGTACCAAGCGGCATCGCCTGAATGCAGTAAACCTCGTGTAGTTTTAAAATTTGACTCTGGGAGAAAGAAAAAGCCTAACTGAAGCCCAAAGTAAAACTACGGAAAACAAATGCAGAATCTCCCAGCCTACCCTCAGCCACTGGATCAGTGATTTCATAAGAGGGTTGGATGGGGAAGGTTTATTCGGCATGTGGTATAAAAGAGAAAAGGACGGTATCGATGAGACGATAGGCCAACGTCACTCCGCGGATGTGCCTTCGTGTTCCCCATGAATCGAATTCGTATTCAAATTGCTTAGTTGCCTCTTCCCTATATAGGCGACTTAAACACATTAGCATCAATTACAACAAAAGCTGAGATTACTGAATAAATGAGCATAATGCATGGGATAAGAGCTAAACATCCAAGAAAGTTTCGTAAGCGGACAAAACTTCGTACTGTGGTTGCCTCGGTGTATAAAAGGACAAATGGTCCGGCATCCTTAATTTGTAATGAAAATGAGAGCTATGGGCCACTTTTAAAAGTGTATTTGCCAAAAGTACTTAAATAAAGCCCCAAGTTTACGGTAAACGGGTGCATTAGTAACTAGTGCATTGTAGACTGACCCCAAGTTGGAAATCCATAGTATAAAAAGTAGTTAACTGTATCTAATTACTGCAGTCAATAACAAAAACAATTTTGAGATACACATTGCTCCTGTCAAACAAAAGGCTTAACATAGAAATTGCTATGCAGCGTTTATGAGCCAAGCGAAATCTGTTTGGGGCTTGTCATAGGTACTACCGTCAATCAAATTTTTGAGAATTTTTAAGCATAACTCAATCAAAACAGTTGTCTATCTTGAAGATTTCTTTACTAAATTGACAGCTATACTTTACACACTGCTGGTGTAATGCTTTGTTTATGTGACTACCTGACGGTTGGCGGTCACTTTAGGATCTGTGTGGTCGTTGTACACGTGCGCTGGCCTCCGGGCCATGCTCAGGCCAATTTGTCCTGTCGTCTTCAGAATACACGTATCCAACTACACTTACTACCTTCTTATACCGGCTGGGGAGTCTAGGGGCACTATAGCTTGAGTTAAAAACAACGAGTGCGTTTTATAGGAAACCCGGAGTTGCAGGCGTAGGTTGGACTCCTAGTGTGTAACATGGTCTTTGAAACAACCCAACAACCGCTCATCTCTTTGGGAGCTAGTAGTGCTTTGGATTGTTAAGACTTAAAATATAGCTGGTAGTTATTAATTCCTGTTTTCCCAAGTGGAAGCAAGCTTCTGACAAGCTAAGCATTGCGAAAGATTGGCATATAAACTATTTATTTTTAGAGTTTTTACCCAATATTTAAAGGAGGTAACATATTTTGTCAATTTTTTTCCTGAAAACTTTAACGACGGTCTGATTGGATAATCTTGACCTTGAGACCTGCGGGATGTCAGCTAACAGTTGCGGTTGATTTGAGCTTGGGTGAGGCGTCCGTTTTTCTTCTGGGTGAGGCATGTGTTTGTTTGGCGCATAAACAGCCAACACTTTGGAGTTGCCTCTCATACGTAAGCTAAAGTGATGTCCTTTCAATTCCTTTTCCTATTATTCGATTATGTCACTGCCTCTCTTTAAGTGAAGCGTACTATGCATGGTAGTCCCCAAATTCATTTTCGAACTATGTTGGTCTTTACTTCAATATTGCGAAATGCAATTCAACCGTGTTTTCAGAAGAGGAGCCTTCATGTTTGCATTGTTGGGAGTGGCCCTTCAGGTTTCTATGTCGCGCAGTCTTTGTTGAAGGCAAGTAGTGAGTTTGAGTACATATGTCATCTTCACCTATTTATTCTGTGTTCACGGTCTTGTTATTGTCGTTCTAGAGGCACGAAAGTATACGCATTGATTTGCTTGAAAAGTTGCCCGTTCCCTTTGGCCTCGTCCGATACGGAGTCGCTCCTGACCATCCAGAAGTCAAAGTAAGTTTTAAGCTTATTTGTCGCAGGGCTTCATTTTGTTCTAGAATGTAATCACTACCTTCACACAAGTGGCTAAAAATCCCCGTTTTCGTTACTACGGCAATATAGAGGTTGGTAACAATGTTAGCCTGGCAGAACTTCGATACCATTATGACGCCATTGTACTGGTAGGCTTTCTTCATCTTTCTTCTCAGTGCTTGTTATTATTTAGGCTTATGGAGCAAGTGCTGATAAGCGCATGAATATTAGTGGTGAGGTTGGTTTCGGTTTCTTTTTCAGGCGATTAGTAGGATTTTCCAGGTGTTCTATCAGCCAAGGATCTTGTTGGATGGTACAATGGGTATCCTGGCTCACAAATGGTAGTTCCACCTTTATTAGTTAGCCTTTTTCCCAAGGAACAATATTATATGCCATTTTAATGCATCTATTTTCTAGTTTAAACCATATTTGGATTGTGAAACTGTTGCCATTGTTGGTATGGGAAACGTTTCACTTGATGTGGCAAGGATTCTTCTCTCGTCTGTTGATCGCCTCAGAGTGAGTCGCATCATGCAATTGTAACACTTGTGTTGACGGTTTTGACGACACCCGTACTACTTGTACTCTCATGAAGTATGTTTAAGCTAATGCATGAAACGGAACCGAATATTTTACAGATGAATCTTGTGCTTTTTCCAAATGATTATGAACAATATGAACACCAGGAGTGTCGGTCCCATAGTTTTCTGTTGTTACACCCTTAACGATCGTGCTGGGTCACCCAACGCTCATTGCCAAGATCACATAAATTCATTTGGCCTTAGACGTCGATGTAAACCCTCTATTGCTAGAGCAGCATTGATCACTATTTGATCGACGTTCCTTAAATGGTTACTAAAGCATGTATTTGGTTTGGGAACCTCGAAAAGTCTTCGACCGCGCATAGTACACTTTAATTAGTAATTGACAAGAAGAAGTGGAGGCTGCCAATTTCTCAGTCCAGGTCCATATTTCCTTCTGCTACAGGAAGGGGCTTGATTAAGCATCACTGTTTATTTTTTCCTGACTTCTGAATCATTGACTATCCATAAGGTGACTCCGTTTGGAAAAGAACTTTTTGATCAAATTTTTTGGGTTTCGCTTATATCGCAAGAATTTCTGTACGGTTTTTTGCCAATATTTTGGAGATCTGACTTTGAAAGTGCCCTTAATTGCTATCTTCGAGATCTACTTCTTACTATTTTTATGTAATTCATGAAGTTATTGAGAAAAAGCTTTGTTTTTAACTTTGAAACTGCTAATATAGCGGAATTGTGCAGAGTTATGATGTTGGGGTGTTGCATAAAAACCTTTTTTTAGTCGAAATACGGCATTTGGCCGGGCCTTCTCGAATTCAAGTGTCTCCCCATGGTCCCACTTTCTTGGTTCTTTATTACTGGGCTTACAACTGGTGATTTCGTCTCTCACCTACGTTCCCGGCCCTTGAATTATTAGGTTAGCTCATGTGCACCTATCACCATATGCTGAAACTGACTTCCAGGTGTATCCTAGGGTATTAGTTTGCTCATAATTATTCCCAGTTCTGACGCAATAATTCCGGATGCGACTTTCTAATTGTGGAGCGAGCTCCATGTCTCGCTTCTGATATTTTATCCACGAATTACTTAAGTCTAAAACTTGGAACATCTATTTTAAAACATTTGTCATAAAGCGGACTGCTACAGTGAATGGCGAAAGTCATTTATCTCCTTTGTGAAGCTCTTGCCTGCCTATTTAGTGTTTCGCAGATTAACCCCTCACTACGGTCCAGCTACTTTTCTTCAATATAGCACCCGCATTGACATCGAGCTAGTAAATATGACCGCTGCTTATGTCCTCGAAATGTTGTTGTTATCAGACCTAAATTACTGTTTTGAGTTTAGTCAATTCCTTTTTTGTGATCCATGATTTAATGCCAGCAGCCATTATTCACCATCAAAAGCCATCTAGCACAAATCTGTGATGTGGTAATTGCTTCCAACTTTTGACCTTTTGGAGTAGCTTTTTAGCGAAGAGCTATGTAAACTATTCAATTTTTTGCGCGTATCTGTTAGTTCTGCAACAAATATTCTGTTTTTAATATTGTGCCTTGATAAATAATCAGCCTCTCAGCTATTGTCGTTCCCTACTTTCGCCATGGCAACTTTCTAGTCTGCTTTTTGATGCTTGCTGGTGTGCTTGTGGGATTAAGTTTGCTGGAAGCTCTCGACGACACATTTGTCGGCTATTGCCTGACATTTTTGTGAAAGCTTCATTGCTTCTGTTTTAGTTTGTAGGGGAACGGGCTTATTTTTTAAGATAGGCTCATTACTTATGAACGCTATTGGATTGAACATAACGGTAATTGAACTGTGTTATTTCAAACACACCAGTAGCACCCGTGGTAGGAGCTTGGTGAGAGTAATTTGCCACTGCATTTAGCTTTGTTTTGTAACAAGGGATACATTGGAAGAAACAATCCTGCCTTGATTTGGGGTTTTAAGCGGATATCGGAAAATATCTTCACTTTATCAAAACATATAGGTTAATTAAGGCCTAATAAATGCTTTAGACTACTAAATGATTCAAAATGACAAGTGATCAGAAGTGTTTTTTTGTCGATATCAGAGCACAGACATCCCGGAGCCGGTGATCCAGCATCTCTCCACCAGCCGAGTACGTCGTGTGGTCATAATAGGACGCCGAGGTCCTCTACAGGCTGCTTTCACGCTGAAGGAGTTCAGAGAATTGTGTTCCCTCCCAAAAACTAAGAAGACTCAACTTCCAGGTCTCAATGTGGACTTCACCCCACAAGGCATTTTTGATAAAACCCTTTCGATTGGCAGTGATGGCGCTAATTTTCTCAGAGGTTTGTCCTCTCTTTGACTTTCTACTTTTTGTTATGAGTAGCAGCTGGTGTTTGGTCCAACTTTAGGTACTAGGCTAGGTTATTTGAATCGTGAATATGCCTTTCCATATACCTTTGCCTTGAGGTCGATGAGTAAGCTACCGCATTATCATTGGAGTTTTGTATCTGTAAGCATCCAGTTTTGTTGGATTAACGGTTAGGGCTGCAAAAATATAAGTGAGGTCGTTTTTTCCGATCTGTTATTTAAATTGGCATTTTTTCTGTAAGTATTATCAATCATAACCCATCAGTAGAATTGCTGACTACTGAACTACTAGCTTCTTTCCTTTTGTTTCTAATTTATGTAAACCAGGTTTGTAAGTTGTCATTTTTGGCAAGACTCTGTGTTTAACCAACTGCGATTGTGGGTTTTTTTACCCGCAACAGGGTATCGAACTGCCGTCAAAAGCAAGCTTATCCCCAGTTTACTGAAGATTTTTGGCAATGGTAATATGAATGGGACTTCAAGCTTCAGACTTACTTTAGCTCAAGTTTGGCCGTATGCGCTCTTATTTGGAGCATATTTCTAATAAGTGGTTAGTCACGAGGATAAACTCCTCCATTTTTTATTATTAGCGCCATTAGCATACCATTTTCGTTCCCGTGATTCCAAACTATCCACTCGAAGTCATTCGACTCATGTGTAATCGAATGCCCGCTTTCACTTCATTATCACCACTCCATAAACATTGGCAGCAGCTAGTTTGAGTTATTCGACCGTTGCCTAACGTGGGGTGTTGCTGACTTCCCCAGAACAATGTTTGCTTTTCCACATTTAAACTTCTCTCACCTTTTGCATCGAAATCCATGTCTTTTTCGCGATCAGATGCACATTTCTCTAGCTCTTATTTTCGACTCCCTAGCTAGTTGGGCGAATATTACTGGCTCACTTTTTTAGTTGCCAGGGGCTGTTTTATTTTGATGTTTAAATGCTGGTGGTGACGATATTTATGGACCTAGTACTAGGGACGTAGTGTCAGTGGCTTTCAGTAAAAGCGTAACGAACATTGTAACATTCAGCTTATCCATGAGTCCGAGTTGTGAATTCCTTTTAATGCCAGCATAGAGAGGGTCTGGGGACCATGTGACCTATAAAAAATGCGGGTGTTTCCATGGCTGGCTCTTGGGAGGTCGCAAAGATCTACCCGACAGGACATCAGTCTGTTGCCCACACATGGTTGTGTGTTATTGGACATCCACTTGGCAGAAACGCGGGCTATTCGATAAGTCTGCTTGCTTCTCGCTCTTCGTTCTGCATCAAGTGCATTTTGCACTTAAGTGGATTTATTAGGAATTCATGATAAAGGCTACCCTTTCCTCTTCAACTTTATTGCCCTTCAAGTACTGCCAAGATTTCTGCATGCAGAAGCACAGAGGCTTCGTTTTATAGTCATGGTTCCTTATTTTAGCGTAGAGGTTGTGAGGGATTTTGTTGCGGAAACTCTCACTCCAATTATAATTGCCCTTTTGCCAAAACACGCAATTGAAGCATCAGCAAAAGTCCATACGGCTTGGACTAGGCTCACTTTCGACCTCTGAACATTTGCTCATTCTCAGTAGGTGCCTTCTGACACCTTTTAGAAGCAGCATTCATCTGATGCACTTGGAATGTTTTCTCTCCTCGTAGTGCCATTGTGAAACGTGAGGGAGGCATGGGAGAATATTAGTATGCGAGTGGGTGAAACAGAGCCGAGATCTGTGTGTAGGGTAGCTCACAGCAATATCACTTCTGCGGCGGAGGTTGAATTCTGTCCTCTTCCCCCTTCGCAGAGCTTCCGCGTCCGCGACGCAGACTGGTCGAACACATGCTTAAGATTTCCGCCCTCAACTCGATGTCCATGGGACATGATGTGATGGATGAACCACTTTGCTGCGAGTTCCGTTTTCTGCGTTCACCGATAAAAGTGGTACCTCGCTATTCTGCCTTCGATTGGACTACACCGTCCACTGCCGGTCCTGAAACCTCGAATGTGGCCGGTATTGAGCTGCGTGTGAACAAGTTGGAAGTGAGTTTTTCCACGTTACCTTCTCCCTCTCTAGGTTGTTTTGACACGCTGCGCTCAAAATCCAGTAATTTTTGCCTAAGCTTAACTATAGTTAATTGGTTATCGTCACCCGAGACATCATCTACATTGTAAGTGATGCGTGACGTTGTGTGAAATCGCGTTTGTAAGAATGCTTTTTTCGGGCGCGATCTTGTTGCACTTGAAAGTCCCAATGTTTAGCTGATAGCTGAAAAGCCTTTGAATCACAGGTCTTTCAAATAATAGTCACTAACATTTTCAAACAACAGATACTTGGGAATTCGTGGATTGTGTTTACCTCGTCGAAAGGAGTTTAATTTTCATGCTGTTTTGCAACAGCTTGAGCTTCTTTTTCGTCGTTTGCCAAAGGCATCCGCATATTTCATAAGGCACCTCACTACACAACATTGCAGTAACGCACCATCACTGGTTCAGACATCTTGATTTTAGGTCTTCTTATTGATTCACAATGTGAACTAGGCATCATAAGTGCTGCCGCCACTGTTTTAGCATGAAGAGGCCTGCTGACATGGATTAGCAACCACTCGACCGGTAAAAAAACAAGTCTAGTGTTTGCCGGAATTGTTGTGCACCTTCTTCGCATGAGCATGATGAAGCTCCACTCCTTAAGGTCCCTGGAGTGAGTAAAGCTATTTTTTTGACAATATTTCTGTATCTCATCTCTTAATATTCTTATTAGAACAGACTTGTTACCAACCTTCCTAAGCGCGTCCGAAGGATGCTAGGCTAAAAGGTTGGAATCGGGAACGCTGAACGGTCAGATGTTTCTTTATGTGCTTTTGTCAACCCGAATTTCCCCTTTTGGTGTTGCCGAAAGGCTCTTTATGCCGCTGAGGGAGTTTTCGATGTGGGTAATTGGTAGGGAAATGAGAGAGTTCTGTGTGCTTTCGTCGTCTAGAGTGGAGTGGAGGCTCCAGCGGTGGTGTAGGTGTGCTTAATACTTTGATCTCCGCGAAATAACTATCCAGCCCCTCTTCACTTAATTTAGCTGAAAGAAACTATGCCTCTATAAGCCCCTTTCTTCCACCCGCTGCCTGATTCTGTGTTTGTTCTCCGGACTGCGTTTTAAACCAGTATGACTGATTTATCAGTTTTGGCATTGTTCTTTTTTTCGAGCAATATTACAATGTATTGTGAAATCATTTGTCTTAACGCGCCTAATTATTTTTTACTAAAGCAGACAAACTATGACTACTGCGTCGTTTCTGATAGGGTCCACTGGGCGAGGATCAGAGGTGTGTGACAGCAGAAGGCGAGAGTCCAGAACACGTGGAGTGTGGATTGGTGGTGCGCAGCATCGGTCATCGCAGTGTATGCATCGATCCCGACTTGCCATTTGATGAGGAGCGTGGCGTGATCATCTGCAGCGACGAGCATGGTCGTGTTCCAGGCCTCCTCTCTTTAGGCGACAGCTACAGTGTTGATGGGGATGCACTGCTATATGCCTCCGGCTGGGCCAAAGTTGGTGGTGTGGGAGTTATCGTCAACACCCTTGCTGATGCACGCAGCACCGCCGATGCCGTTCTTACGGACCTCGCGAACAAGGAGTTATCCCCTCGTCACATAGGTTTTGAAGGCTTTAAGGCGATTCTAGAGAAAAGAGGTTTGTTGTCGTTTGACCTCTTTACTGTTCCTTTAAAACGACTTTGATTTCTTTTGTTTTTGACTTGCGATTATTCTTTAATCCCGCTTTCACTAGGACTAGGACCGGTTGTTTTAATAGGTCTAGTCCTTCTCAATTACCTTCATGAAACTGATCACATTTACTACCTCCGTAGTTTTGCCTGTTTTATCGCGCATTCGGGTTTCACGAATTCCCTCATGGATTGCATTCTAGGAGGGATTTACATCTATTAAACCTTCAGATATGGGGTTCAATCCCATCTTGAAGAATGTGCAAAGTTCGGAAGTAGGAGTGTAACTTTTGTCATTGACAATAATAGGCAGGGGAGACGGTGTGTATGAGCTTTCATCATCCTAAAATGATGTGAAACAATCATGAAGGCTTTATTTGGACAAAGTTCAAACACTTGACCCTTCGTTAAAATGTGCATTTCGATGTGCGCCCTCTCTATCACAGCCTTACTGGTACATTGTTCTGCTTTGACACCAATCTTCATGAATTTGGCTCCTTTACATTTCTACGCATTTTTTTCTTTATTTAAATACCACACGCGCTGGCGTTCCTCATGCGTCATTCAGTGTCCATCAGGGATAACCTTAAGATGCGGGATTTTTTGAAGGGCCCTTGGTGCTCTCGCCATATCTGAAAAGCTGTTATGTTTAAACATCACATTTGTCTCGAGATTTTATTACGAATAGGGTTTCTTACTTTAGTGGCCCTGGGTGCTTTTAGGGGAGTATGCAGCAAAGTCTTAAACAATGCACAATAGTTTCACATATTGTTTGGTGCCTTTGTTTTGCCACCTGATCATTTTTGTTTATCTTTGAGTGAAAAGTTTTGTTAAATTGGAATGAATTGGTGTTTGAAGGCAAGACGAAACAGAGTAGCTCCATGTAAAGCAGGGAATTCAAACACCTTGGTTCTGAGGATCAATCCATCAGGTTGGATTTCTGTGGGGTAGGGGGACGCTCTGCTCTTGCAGCGTATGTTTGAAGCAGGTTCCTCCTCCTCATATTTAGCTGTCTTTGGAACGAATCGCCAAAACGTCTCTGAAAACCCTGCCCAAAATTTCCACAATCATTCAATGTGCACATCGAAGTCATTATTTTCTTGTCTGGCATCTCAAGAACATGTTTTGACTAACCAAGTAGCGGCGCTTATCTGTCTGGCATCACACTAAATTTTTCATTATTGCTGCGGAGTGTCATAACCTTATCCAAACTTTGCAGACTATTTGCTGTTGGTCGGAAGTATTGCCAGAAGACATAAAAAAGCAAAAAAAGAGACCCCTACGCACTGAGTGCATGTAGAATGAACTCAAACCGGCACGAGTTTTATTGTTACGTTGAACGATGATTGAAATAATCTTGAAATACAAGCAGAACCAAACAAAGGATTGAAAGAGTCAATGCAAGTTGCTCTTTTTAATGCTACTGTGCTGCAGGCGTGCGCCCGGTGACTTTTGCAGACTGGGAGCGTGTGGACGCAAAGGAGAGGGTGGCAGGTCATGACCTTGGCAAGCCACGAGAAAAGATCACGTCTTTGCGGGAGATTCTACGAACTGCTTTTCTGGAAGTGACTGAGGCACGCAGTGGTAACAACTTCTGAATGTCAGCCAGTTGCTGCTGGCCTTCATCCTTTTTGGCCTCATTGGATGTAACAGGAGTCCCTCCCCCTACTGTACTCTGCCCTCTTTGGTTTTTCACTGTACATCAAAACTATTTGTATTTGGAATGTGAAAACCGCCTTAATGCTGTATTTGAAATTTTTGGGTAGCCTTAGCTTTGAATCAGCATAACTTTCACTTTGGGATTTACTTCTGATCTGTGTTATTGCGAGTCCGTTGAGGGTGTCATCTTGAAGCGATTGTAAGGCTCGCGCATCTAGAAGTCCCCTTGCTATCCCGGCTCGGGATAACTGTGGGACTGGTCACTGTCTTAGCACGGCCTTATGCCATCTGTCTGAGTTGAACCAATAAGCATTGAAATGGATTGCTCAGTTGTCGAATAATTTTGGTTCAGTTTTAAAGTTCTCTCAAATTTGTGGAATCCTCTCGCAGTCAAAATTTGACCAAGAGTTCTGTACATCAACAAGGCTGGACATCTACGGCGTCTTCGAGGCCGATTGGGCTGCAACGATGTTGGCTGTGACATGGAAGGTGGATGGAAATAGTTACCGATCTGCATGTTGGGTAAGGGAGGTTGTGGTGGATGGCTAGAAGTGTGCAATGGAAGGGTCATAATGGCTGCGCTCGCTTTTGACAAATGACCGTTATCACATTAGTGTACCACTTACCCAACATCAAGAAGTCAGATTTGATCATAATGAAGCCATTTACAATGCTTGCAAAAGTGTCTTGGTTACATCTGGAAAGGGTTTCGCCCACTTCTAACTGCTGGCTGAACTGTCGAAGGCTACTCTGTACCAGTGAAGACAGAAGTACGTGGTAGGGCAGGTTGATTGTGACGTGTCCAACTCTCTATGCTACGTGCTATGCTCTACTCACAACGAGGTCCTCTTTTAACTTTTTCCCTTAGGGCATGATGGATGTAAAAGACAAATGTGGTGCAACTCCTGGATCCGGTGGAATAAGCCAAACATAACCAAGATTAAGGTTGAGGGATTTCTCATCCTCCAGGAATTCAATGTCCAACTTGAACTTTGACCTCTCATTTAAACCACTACTGACGATTTGTTGGACGCGTCTGTGCCATCGAAGATACTCGATTGAGGTTTATCAGCAACTGCAAATTTTTTCAACCGCATCGTATTGTGGCATGCAGTTCATGCTGTTTACGTTTTACACCTCCTAGCTCCTTTGCTTGTTGTCGGCGTAATTGTGAATGGTGAAGTGTCTGGAGAAGATTCAAGCTCTAAAAGGTTTTTCTTTTAAGATAGCTGTTTATCAGGAAACATGTGAAAAGTTGAGGAGGTAGTACTTCAAATTGAAAAATTTGTTACGGGGCCTGAGCTCCTCCTTTTAGCTTCCCACGGTCAATTGAATGTGATCTGTCAAGAGATTCCTAGTCGCTCGTCATTCCTCCATTGGAAAGTGCATTTTAGGCTAAGGCTTATTACAGAGCATCGAATGGAAACTTAAAATCATGACTAGAGTAGACGCCTTCGCTTGTTATTCGTTTCACGTAGCTTATTTCGCCAATGCTAGTTGTAAAGAGTCAAGACTGCATTTACAGAGTGTTGTTTACGGTCACCACATCAAACACCGCATGATAGTGGCTGATCGTCTGATTTAAGCCCCTTTAGGGTGGAAAATCATGGAACGCATAACAACGATCTTTAGCAAGCACCGAAATTCTCAATCATCTCTTGACAAAGAAAATTTGCGTAGGTGGTGTCGTTTCCAAGCAAGCATTAACAATAGACGCCTATTCGATTAAAAAGGTGTCAATTTTGAATTGAAGTCAACATTTAAACTAATCGACAGGTGCGACACAAGTGTGTAGCCGCTGATGCAGTGAATCCATGATACCTTTGCTGTTTACGCAGCCAACTTTAAACCAAGCCTTAGCCTTTGCAGCTTAGATGGAGTTGAAGTTGTGCGCAACTTAAGTGGACTTCATTGCATGATTGATGAGCATTCGTAAAAAATTATTGTCTGATTACTGCCACCGTCTTCATCCTCGTTCACTTTCAAGTTTAACACTTTACTGAGATCGCCTCATCAGTGAGGAAGAGCACCTGTAGCATTACCCTGTCCAAATGAGGCAGCATCCAATTGATGGAAATATTTCTTTAAATTCCAAACAGACATAGCTTTGGCGTTGTGTACCACTCAATGTGCTTCGATTCCTTAGTACATTTTTTACCTCTCGTCCCGTTTTCACGACCTCCGCTCCCCTCGCCTCGACCTCATGGGACGCTGCCTCGTGGGCGCTGGCACGCAAGTGCGCGTGCACCTTCAGTAGACTTACGACGCTTTCGCACTCTACTCAACACCTAAACTCTAGCACGCATCTGCTCCAGCGAAGAAATTTCTGCTCTCCATAGGGCACAAGAAGCCCTCTGAGGGTTATCAAGGTCGTAGTATTGGCGCGTTTATGGCATTTTTTTACTTGACTTTTGAAAGTGGTTACAGTGTGTTGAGAAATATAGAGGATACATTGGGAGAGGTGGAGAGGTTAAAAGCAAAACACTGTGCGTATTTTTAATAGCATCAGATCACTCAACCCGAAAGTGCCTACAGAATTCATGAGGAATAGGATGGTAAACATCGTTTTACTGAACAATAATCTCCGCCTTGGCAATAAATGGTTTAAACAAGAGAAGATGCACAATTTTCCGCCTGGTGAGGGCGTTCAAATTAAACATTTCAAAAGGTGTTCGAAATGCCCACTCTTCAGCAACGCTTATTTGAGGCATCTTTTGTCTAAAAGAATGATGACGATTGAGTGGAAGTTTGTCTGTTGGTGCAAAGACAAGCTCTTGAGAGGTGAATTTACTACCACACCAAGGCAGAGGCCAGCGTCGCACCTTTACTCGTTTACTCTGCAGTATGTGCGTGAGGAAAGCAGAAATCGCGAGATAAAGCACCAACCGATGCATCGGTACAGAAAAACCACAACACCAAATCCACTCTTCTGTTTGCAAAATACTGCATTTCCAATTTACAAGTCAAAAGATTTGCGATTTTATACTTTGCTGAACCTATTATTGAGTGTAAATGAAATTTGGTAACCAATCTGGAGTTAAGTTAACCAGGTTTTTGGAGTATTTTAAGACCACCCTGGAGAAGTGGATAGGATTTGATCAAATGGCACCAAACAGCCAATTCGACAGCACATGTGGTTGATAACTTTTTACGGCACAAACACTCATGACATTTTCAGTCTCAGAGCGTATAAAAATCGCCATCTAGCATTTGTGCTTACGACGTCACACACTCGTGGTGGTTTCCTCGCATCTGTTGACGACAAGAAATTGAATAAAGCTGTGTGTTGAAATTTGACTGTCTGTGCCGGGAACACTGATGCGAATGCTTGGGGAAGTGTATGTTCTGGTTAATTAATGAAGATTCCCCTAAAAGTGCCCGCGGTTTCGTGTCTTTTACCACAGGACCAAAGCTCCCTTGTTATTTATAATCCATGATTCCATGAGTTGGTGGTTGGGATAATAAAATCCTCAAAATGCATTGCACAACGTTAGTTGTAAATATTGTTTTCTTATTCGTATGTGTTGTTAACGTCATGGGGGTCGCTTCTAACCCCGTGGCCTTGTCACAGATGGCAGAGGCTCCAGAGTTTCCCCCCAAACCCAACGGTTTGAATTAGGCGTCCAACCCATTTACCAGGCCAGAATTAATTAATTAATTTCAAAATCTGCCGTTTAATAGGTTTGGAAAACCATTAGTCGTATTGCCAGGAGCCTAAAAAAAGAGCGGTGGTCAAGCGGACTGTATGAAGAATTAGCACTCCCTGTTCTGAATGCTTATGACGGCACCCAGTAGCACCTCCAAAACTCGCAATGTGATATCTGAAGTGTGCATCGAGACTGACTTTGGTGCCTTGGAAAAACTCATTAAAAAGCAGCAACATGAAGGTGAGAAGGAATGAAGTTCCTTTGCGTACACCTAGACGCCGAAATTCCACTAGCTTTCGTGTTTTCCTCCAATAATTCTTAGACAGCACTACAAATAGAAGTTTTAAAAATAATTGAACTTCATTGGAGTTATGTCGGCTGGAAGGATTCATATAAGCGGCACCAAGGCTATTCCTTAATAATTCTCTAAAAGGTTGGTAAACGAGCCAAATTGGAGAACTCCTACCGGTCAGTTTCGCAACACATCAAAATTATAACATGTCTCTCATATGTTAACATTTTTGTGGCCCCAGTCATATAACAACCTTTCGCCCCCATCGCCACAGCCTCACAACTGTTATAAAAAAAACTCATGATTGATTACGATATGCGCTATGGCATGGAACAAATGGAGGCTGAAATTGATGCACTCGCCGTCTAGTTCGGATGACCAATGCCAGATAAAGACAGGCCGAAGTTCGAGCTCGGTTGACCCCAGGGAATTGAGGTGAGAACCCCGTTTTACAATGGTGCGATCACCTCCTTTCTTCCCCCTCCCCCCATAATTAGCGTCCATTTCTCTGAACTGACACTGGCGGTAGTTCAGCCTTACTAAAGCCACAGTCCGCCACCTCAATAGGGCATGGCGAACCTAGCGATGACATCTCATTCTCTTACAAAGTAGCACTGTCTCTATTTAGGTTAGTTTAAAATACGGTGTTGGCATCACTATCACTCCTCCTCGTGTAGTGATTTCTCCCTTAATTCATAGCAATTCCCACACTTGAGTAGGAGCCAACAGGACTTGTCGTGCCTTATCGATGGAGGACTGTGAATGCTTCAATACAATGGATTTGCCTGTTGTTGTTACCGAATGAAAGTTTTAGGACTGGTGGAAACTGCTATAGAATAGTAAGGTTAGAAGTCTCACATTCTTAAATAAAATGATGGCTAGTGAAAATGGTGCCCTGTCTGGAGAACTTAGGTTGATTGAGTATGTTAACGTCAGTGGTGCTTTCGCGACTGCCATTGAATACTTCACACTTCAACTACCAAAAGGACCGCCAAATTCCGTCAAAGCATTTTTTGGACAAGAAAACCACCTATGGTATCAAGTATAGTTAAAAACACTTGTTATACACCTTCTCTCTTTACTGTTTAGTTTTGATGTGGGCAGCTTTTATTTGCATAGTTGAGAGTTCTGTAAGTAGTGAATGCAATTCGTGCCCACATCGGTTGGCGGTTCTATTGTGCCAAGTCTAGTTTTGATTACGGTGTGGCTAAAGCCAAACTGACCATTTATTAGGTGTGAGAGTATGTTTATGTAGCACCAGCAAATCATTCATCTTAAGACAGTTTCGCACGTTTTGATTATGACAGCAGAGGATTAAAAATATTACCTCCTGTTGATAATCCGTTTTGCAGGGGAGAAATGGAAGGGCAAAGGTAGGCCAAAGTGTGAAACGTGTAGACTTTGTCTGAGTGGAGTGAGTTATGCGTATTAAAATTATTGTGCATTAGATCTCCCAAGTCGTTAATCCATGTGCCCTGAAAAATGTTTGCTCAATGCTTAAATTTATGACATTCTGACGGAAATTGAGCTCCCCTCATTCAGACTTCACTTCATTATGGTTGAGTTCCATTCTTTTCTGTAACCGTCCCAAATGACACGTCGAACGCACGTAGAGGGTGCAATCACTTAGGTAAGGGGAAAGGTGCCCCATTATTTTAGTTGACTTGGCAACTGACGCAGATGTGTCGAAGTTCTGCTTTTCAATAAGTCAGGCACAAACAATCAGACGGCCAAATGGTCGAACGACAAATGGCGATTGGCTCCAGTACTAAATTATTCACTTTTTGCCAAAACCAAGCTGGTGATAAATGTTGCACAATCCAAACTTATAATTGGCTAAACAACTCCTTTTGTAAGACAAAAAACATCAACATTCAATGAAAGGCACTGTCAAAATCGAGAACGCTCATCGTTTCTGCGCTAAAAAGAACCTTTGCAATCCTGGAAGCAGGAAGGAAAATGGTCACAAGACTAAGCTATGTACTTACAAAACGAACAAAATAGACCTTTGTTATCCATAAGAAAGATTAAACCTCCACATGTTGGTGAGGATTTATATTCCTGACGTACACTAGCATCACAAGTTTATATAGCAACAGGTTGAACACAATACCAAAAGTTTGCCTCATTTTCAATAAACCTATAATTATGTCGCTTTAGTTGTTTGGCTGTGGGAGGAGAACGTGATCTGCGGGGAGGCCATGGCCCAATTTATAAGGGGCCATGACTTAGAAACGACGGTAGCTAGGGCTCCATATTTTAACCCCTTTGAAAGATCTCAAGCTATCCCGAGTTGGTGATCCATCTGCAATGTTGTATCCACACGAACAATAACCTTTCATCAAAAAATTAACAAAGGATCATGAAGCTAGTAATGTCATTCAGGTCTTCGCTGCCACCTTGTAATCTCTCTCCTTGATGTTGCCAGATGAAAAGATTGATAGAGATGTCGACCTGGTGCAGCATTTCCACGTGGCAATATCGAGATGGTATCACGCCCACGAACTAGGCGGGACACACCTTCAAGATTAACACAACCTCCATATATCACGCTCATGAAAGACTAATCCACATTCCCTACCCTCATTGTTTGCACTGCAGTGTGTCACTGTCTGTGTCAGTGTTATTTTAGCACTTTACAGCTTCCGCTCTAAGCAGAAAGCCGTTTTACAACCACCTTCAGTCAAGATTTTACTCGGCTAAATAACGAATGAGCATAGACAGACGCCAATTTTAGCCTCGTTTCGCTAATTATCCACTGATGAGGTTTGAGTGATACCACAGCAAGCAAAGTATGCCGTCACAATTATGCAGACAATTTTAGATGCGCTGTAAATATGTGCATTGCCAAAAAGTGTGGTGCAAATACACTATCTGATCGAGGGTACAGTCTCCAATTGCCATTATACCACCTCTTAACTGCCTCACATTCATTCGCTCGCACATTTGCTTTTCCCGTGGTAAAATTTCCACTGACTAAATTCGATCGGCACGGGAAGGTGGGCGCATCACATCAGAGTTTAGTTGAACTTTTACCTACTGCCTTCAGTCACTTTGGTAGCGTTGATAGAGGATGTCTACTTATTTAAGGTTATTTTAAAGAAGTCGTCATAACAACAAAGCTCCCACACTGTAAATAATGGAGTCATAAGGCAAGTTCACAGTGTCAACTTCCATTAAATCATTAGCGCCCTCCTTCCTCACTGATTGTGCTTGATAGTCCTGCTTCCTTCTCAAGGCACTTCTAGCTTCACCCAAACTTTGCATTGGCTGCAGCCAGGATCTAATGGGCACCAGCATGAGGATGCATGCAAGAGAGGCTGAGCAGCCATGAGACACTTTTAGAACTTCGGCTGGTAAAGGAAGAAGTAAACCACTAGGCGTTCAACAGGATCAGGATCATAAAAGCAGGACTAAGATGTATCATATCCCATACAAATGACCACATGAACGTCTAGCCACTGATCTGGAAGCTCTGTTTGAATATCCTTAGGCTGTATTTTACCACATTTACATTGCACAATATTTGTGTCAACTGCTGAGCTCTAGAGGTATGTATTACCAATGTTATTTTGACTTAGACGATCGCTAGCCGTTTGATGTGTACTTAAAGATATGCCTTTTGGGTGACCACTTTGTCAAGTTTTGTGTCATTTTGAGCCACCCATACACATGGACCGATGAAGTGTCACGCTCACAATTTTCCAAAGAGATTAGGTCCCTTGCCATTTAATTAGATTTGACATGAATAAACAACTCCATTTCAAATAGCCCTAAGTATGCTTCGCATTATAGGAAATGGATTTTCAAGCACATTTCTTCGCCGGTTGAGTTGATGCTCGTCAAATAGATGACTTTAAAAGGCAAGAAAGTTGGATTCTCATGTAGCAACTTTGTTCATTTTGGTATCGTATGCAGTGCTGATTAATTAAATCTAAAATTTGAGACTATGTGTACCGTAAGCTATGACATCATCGAACATAAAATTTTGCCTTTGTTTGCCTTTTATTGATAACAACTATGCTGCGGGCAGTTAGTTTTATTTTTCCTAGCACTGCAAATTGAACCTCATGACGAAAATCACCGTTCTTAGATCGAGTTCGCAACCACACAGCAATCGGAACGTTGTAAAACGCGATCGACTTCAGTTAATGGTCTACAATCTGAACATTACGAGATGAATCCAGTTCCTCAAAACATGATCGATGCTGTACTTAGCAGATGAGGCATTGACGCTAACCTCCGCAATGTGTGCACGTTAAGGGTGCTTGAAGTACCTGCTGCCTTCTCAAAAACTGAGCCACTGGTGGGCTTATCTTGCATTATGGCATTCTAAAGGGCTGCCACAAGTTTTTAATTCGCAGTATACAGTGCATATTAGTGCCAAAAGATTAGCATCCCAGTATTTTAAAAACAAAATTAGTTTGCTTCCTGATTTCATTCGCACTCAATTTGCACTACAAATCGTGCATAATGGGCTGTCCAATGAGAATAGGACGTCGCAGCGCTGCCCAATAGGCCAATCGCTTCATGGGGGTGACGTCGGATAAGACCCCTCCAGCCAATTATAGCTCTCCTATTGGTTAAACAAGATGCATATTATCGAAGATGACTCCACTATAGCTTCGCGTTTTTGCTGTTACCTTTGTGCTGATGAAACATATCGGATCAGACAACCTTGCGACTCCGAAACCGGACTTTAGTGTTCTCAAATTGGAAGAGGTACGTATTTGGTTTATTCATGGACGTTTGCAGTTTTCATCTGAGTCTCATTCTAATATGTCTGAAATCTTCTATATATGAATTATAATAAATAGTAAGGAAAGACCTTGGATATTAATACTGACGATGTCAGGTGATCAAAGTGTATGAGAACTTTGGTAACTTGTGATAACTTTGTACACGCGCAAAATACAACTTAAAAAAAAACAAACCACTACAAGTTCCTATCCTGATTTGACAATTTAAATCCCAATTTTTCTGCTTTATAACTAGGACCAAATTAGCTCTATAGCTATGGTTGCCGTAATTTACTCGAAAATTTTTTATTGGGAAGGGGTGTGTCGCACTTTTTAATCCTACTGACAGGTCCCTCAAGGATAGGAGAGATGTGTATCGATTTAGATATTCCCTGTTATATATCAGAAGGATCGTGATACACTGCGGACAGGCTATAACAGAATATACTGTGTGAATAAAGTTTAACAGCTAGCCCAGTCTACCTTGGATTTGAATTCGATTATTGTCCAAAGTACAATTGCCAAGTTTGGTAGGCTCCGGAAATGTCATTTTGTAAAGTGTGATGCTGACTAATCTACTGATCAGTACAATTTTGAGGGATTCAATCTAAGTCTACAAATGGTCCCATAGCTTTTATTGTACTTGTTTTTTGCGCAAAAATTTCCCCTACCCCATTAGCAATTTTTCCGATTCCACGGTACAATCTACTTCTCTTCACTTGAGTCTTCCGGGTATTACCACACACTTTGTAGCCAAATAGCCAAAGGAAATGCAAAACAAAGTTAGCCGAGGAAAGAGTGAATTACTATTACTTCAAAATAAAAATTTAATGCATTTAGTTTTAGGTACTGATAAAGGTCTCATCCAAAATCCCATGTCATCTCTTGATTGGTACACCTGTTGTAAATTTATCCTCAGAAAGAACTTCAAGCAAGACTACAATTGGGAAAGGATAGCCATATACTTTCCTCGTGGTTTACGCCAATCATCCAAAGCTCTGAGGTGGGAGAAATTTCTGTCATCGAAAAGGGCAATATGGGAAATCATTTTTACAGTGACCCCTCACCTCATCAGAAGAATGGCTATAGTACTCTTTTAGGCGAATGTTTCATTTCGACTGTTACTCCATGCCTGACGTAACTTTCCCACGCTCACAAGAGTGTAGCCCAAATGTATGCAAGTTCAATGCCCCATCTTTCTCACGATTTCACCGACCAACCAGTGTAGTGGATGCAGTGGTTGAACTTAGTCTCTATTTCAGTGGGGGATCTAAACCAGCATGTAATGACAGGTGAATCCATTACCTTTCCTTCCCTTCGCCATCTGGCTGAGTGAGGGAGAGGGGACCTCTTGCTAATATCCTCTTACAACCCATCGTACGGAGGATTCTACATTCTATAAACTGCCTATCTGGAAATAGCGGATTATTTTAACTATAATTGAAGGCAGGCCAAAGCCAGATGTTAAAGCCTATATAATGCATAAAGTTTTTAAACAAAATCTGGAAACCATTTTTTACAATCATTCAGAGAACTTAAAGTGATTGAGGTAATTAGTCTCAAGAGTGGGGAAGGAGCATCTAAAGTTAAAGTTGTGGGAAAAAGACGAGAAGCTGATTGAAATCCTCTTCACTTTACGCACTTATGGATGATTCGGCCAGTCTTTTCAAGTTTAAAGTTCCTAGACTAGCCAAGGTACAATTTGGCGTAGAAATCTAGTGTTGGGAGACCCTCGTAGGAGACTGCACTTTTAGTTGCAGTGCTTAAATTCAGGCATTTACTTCTTCAATCCTGACACTTTCACATCACCAGTTGAGCGCATGTGTTTGCAAGCGATTGAGGGTGGATGATTGTACGTGTTGCAAGGATTGTAGGCCCTATCAATCACCATTCTCTCTCCTTTGCAATAGCCTATGCGGAATTGGTTCCTGCCGCTTTAATCACTTGAGTGGTGATGAAGGCATTTCATCGTCAGTGCAGAGAAAGAAGAGGGCCACTTCAGCTCTCATTTTTGACCTTACATATGTTTTTTCCTATTTATCAACTTTAAGCGTAATTTGTCATAGGGAGGGTGTTATTTTATGGGGAAGGACATGGAGGAAGGGGGAAAAGTAGTGAGATTGACCAACAAACATTGATAGTGATAACAATCGGTAAGAATGGGATGTACCTAGCCTCCATTTGTATACAAATCCACGTGCTACACATGATCATCCAGCTAAGTAAACACACCGTCTTTACTTTAGTCAGTCCTCGAGTCCACACGCCTTCATCCCAATCAGACCCCCAAAACGGTAGAGGATGGCAGTGGAGTTCAAGGTGGGCTTAACACATGCACATTTTAGTAATGCCTAAAATTATTGTTAACTACTTCATAATTTTTTGCTTAAGACAGTGGAATTGAAGTTTCTCGGTTCTCCTCATCACCAACTGGGATTTCTTCAATTCGGAAGAGCTCTGAATCAACAGAGGTGAGTACTTTTTTGCTTACTTTTATGTACATTTTTTGACCGCATGTTTCATTACACCATTCTGGCCTTTAGGCTGTCATACTGAATGCTCCTTCCACGTCCATGATTGCTCGTGATGTGAAGGTGCCAATACCGATTAAGCCTAAAATTATGGAGCCAACGGGTTCTGAAGCCTCTACATCAGCATCGCTATCTACATCCGCCTCAGCATCAACTTCGATGCCAAATGCTTCGATGGGGAAAAGACGTTCTGGCAAGAAAGAATTCGACTGTTCCTACTGCGGAAAGGTGTTTGACAGACCGTCTCTCCTTCAACGACACATCCTCACCCACACTGGAGAGCGTCCTTTTCTCTGCAAATACTGTGGAAAGGGTTTTTCCACTCGCAGCGGTGTCAATACGCATGAAAGAATACACACTGGAGACAAACCATATGTTTGTGCTCATTGTGGACGTCGTTTCACTGCTGGTTCGAACTACACCTTTCACGTTTACATACATAACAATGTAAGTGGCTCTGATAATTAAACCATGTGGGAGAGCTCCTGTTGGCATTCTATTATATTTTTAACTTAAATTAGTTTAAAAGGTTTCAAGAGCGTATCTGTTTGGCTTTTATTGATGAGGAAGTTTGTGACAAAAACTGTTCAACAATTTGTTAATTTTGATCCTCTTGCTAACTTCAAATAGACTCGACCCCACCGTTGCGATGAGTGCGACAAGGCATTTGTAACGCCAGGAGATCTGAGGAGGCATAAATATGTCCACTCGGGAGATTGGCCATTTACCTGCAGTGTTTGTGGCCGCGGTTTCGCAATTGAACGCAGTCTCAACAACCATATGGCCATTCATTCTGGTGAATTTTAGAAATTTGCTCTCATATTTCATCACTCATTATTGTACATTAACTGAATGCCTCCTTTAGGTGTGAAACCATATTCCTGTAACATTTGTTCCAAGTCCTACACTCAGGAAAGCTCTTTGAAAACGCACATGCGCATCCACCAAAGTGAGTGAATTGTCTATAAAATTGCTCCGTCTCCGTTTGTGTGTTCCTGCCTGCTTTGTTCTCTTTCTCAGAAGAATCAACGACACAAATGAATACACCATCAACAAGTAACCAAGACAACCCTCCTCAGTCGTCCAGTTGCTCAAGTCAACAGCCCGTCCAACAACCAGCGGTTACTTCAACCGAAGTACCTGCACTAAATGCTCCGATCCAGATGCCCATTATCCCTCCTCTAGGTTTTTTAACACAGTGGCTCGGCATGCCACCATCACTGACTGAACTCCAATTAGACAACGCAAGACCATCCTCTGACAGTGAAAACCAAGTGCAGGGCCTTCAACAACAGTTTCCCCATATGTATACGCCTTTGGCGAATGCAGTTTTGCCCACCAGTGATCGTAGTGCCTTCGTAGATCTGCGACAACAGCGGGCTCCTTTCAGTTCTGGTGATCTGCTACGTCATCCACCCCCCAATCGCTCCGGCCAGCCCCACCATCAGAAGCGGCAGAGGCGAAGACTTTCACCTTCACTACAAATGCAACCTATAGACCTCTCGAACAGGAGAAGTCGACGATAGACGACTCAGTCGACTGCATCAAAAAGAGGCCAGATCAACTTAGTTTTGAAATAGTTCATTGCACACCCCTAGAATGGGTTTTGCTGCTTTTAGATGTTTGCTTATTTAACCGTTCAAGCTTTAATTTATGCGTGGTAGATTCTTTTTACAGTAGAGTAGCTGTTTTGCATGAGATTTTAGTCAGGAAGCAAAGTAGAGAGACAGAAGGATAACTTTTAAAATAGCATTCTTCAGAACAACTTGTACAAGAATTTCAAAGTGATGCTATCGTTTGGGGTCAACGAAGTTATTCAGGCGTTTGCTAAGTTGTCCTCCACCCCACACACGGATAAATCTCTAGCACTAACAAAAGGCGCTTGTAATAGTTCATTTGACGTTTCATTGAGACGAATGAGGGACTAATAATGAAATTTAAATAATAGAGGGTAAAAATCGAGCCCCTTTGTGTAAGGGTTTTAAAGAACCCCGCAGGACTATGATACACATTTAAAACCCTGTGCTTCACAATGCATAAATGCTACTGCGTGCGCATATCGTGAATTTTAGAGACACTCGCGTTGTGGAAGGAGAAGAATTTCGTGATTTCAGTGATCTGGAAGGACAACCTTTGGAAACTCTCACAGGAAAGGCGAATCTTAAATGGAATTTGATTCACCTTTACCCCTCCAATAAGCAGGTTTTTTACCAACTTAAAACAATGAAATGATATTTTCACTGTACACTGTCAAAAAATTGTAAAATTACTTCACTAGACTTGAATGTAACAACCTTGTAAATCTTCATACAACTTAGCAGCTCAATAGATCTATCACGACATTTTCACGACCACTTTTCCACCTGAAGAGTACTAACTAACCAGACACGAAACCCACTTTCATAATACATTTTACCTTGACGCCGTTTTTGCCTTGTCTATCTAATGGATGCAGTGGAGAGACTGATTGATGGAACAGCGATGGAGGCATCGACATGTGGGTTGCTTAAGTTGCAAAGTTTTGGGAATATGATATGATATGATCCACTTGTTGATATCGAAGCTCATTTGGCGCTTTCAAGCAAGTGCCCATTAGGCAGGGGAAATAGTTATTTGCTCTGACAATACGTTTACTTCAGCCGTACTTACAAAATGAACGAGCAGAAAGCCTGGAAGACTACATCAAAGTTTACTGGCCTCTAAGGTTCCCTTTTGGGAGAGGAAAGCGGTGAACTACAGAAAGAGGAATAAAGTCGGTATGGCATCTCATTTGTTGTAGGAGTAGTGCAGGAAAGAGACAAAAATTATCGCAAAAGGTATTTGCACAGGCAGTTTATTTTGGGCTTAATCATACTTTTAACAGCAAACCTCTGGCTTGAAATGAGAACAAATCCTTTGCTTTCTATGGACGTAGGTGCTTTATACCTTACTTCACGTCCGATGTCATTTTAGTTGTTAAAAGTTGCTCCAAGGATCACAGAACGGAAGTGGCACCTAAAATTGACATTAGTTTCAGCATTTCACTTTTGACTTGTCACTACTCCTCTCAAGCACAACAAATGCACTTCTTTCACATCGCTAAGGGGTGCATCCAACGGTGAAAATTAGACCAGATGTCTTTTAAGACCGCATTCGCATTTTGCTGTCACCAATGTGACGTAGACCGACTGCCCTGGTGACAAAAAAGTCGTAACACCTGAGGATGAGGTGCATGTATATGATCAGTAGAAAGGCTTGAAACTACAAGCCACACCAACGGCCAACAGATAACCAACCTGTCCGATTCACATTTTGATTCGACACAAGGCCACCATCCGATGCAGCCAAAGCAAGTAGTAAAGATTTATGGTAGTTTAGAGTAGGACGACAATTCTTCAATTATTATTAACATAATAACAGCCTTCCACGAATATCATAGGTACAATTATTATCAAATTCGGAGTAGTTCGCGTGTCATACTGAGAGCTGAAAGGAAGACTTAACAAAATAAGTTATCGTAAGCTGATAATATGAACATGATTCCGAGATCAGGTGCGAGTATCAAGGTGTTACACGTATGTGACAATGATGCAAAGACGTGCCAACCCTTTTCAGGGTCAACCCGGATTAGAAAGAAACGTGAATATGGGGGAGGCATGTTAATCCACGAGAAAACAAACAATAATTTGGACCTGCAAACCTACGAAAAAGTAAGTGTTTTCATATTGATGAAATTCCAAATGCAAAACCAAAATGTCCTCTACACCATTGCAACATTAGACTACTAGTTACAAACAACTTTCTACTCATGTTAATTAAGTAGGCACACGAATACGACTACATAAAAGATGATAGTGAGATACCCTAGCATGTAGTTAGGACAAAATACCCCAGACCAATTTGTCAAGAACGGTTTCTATTTAGAAAAGAACGTTTTGTAATCAATACAATACTCAATGCCATTGATACACACTTTTCTAGTGCTGAGGTTGCATTTCTGAGTACCAGCTTTACTTCAATGCAGTTACTCCAATAATGTGCACAAATGTTACGAGTAGAGGAACGACTGTTCCCGTACTGCTCTGAGCAAAATGGTTTTTACAAAATTAGCTGAATGTTCTACAAGCCCCTCCAGTTCATTCAAACCCTGCGGACATGGCGATCGACTTTGTTGCGGCAAAAGCATAACCGATGACCTTTTAATGCATCGAAATAGGCATTCTACCAGAGAACAGAACGTTTGGTTGTATAATATTTAAAATACTGCACGATTCTAAATCAAGTATGTGTGTAAAGCCGTCGATGGCGACCAGGTATGTCAGCTACCATTCAAAGTTAGAGAAACATTTGAGCATACTTTTGGTGTGGTTTTGGAACCCAACACTCAGAAATTAACTAACAGAAATGATCAGATAGTACTGCGTGCATATGTTCCAAATCATATTTGTGGTATCAAAATGCTTTATGGACTTTAATACACCGATAAAGCAGTAGTTTTGATTAGCTGGAGCAGTTGCAAAAAAACGTGATTGCAGATAAATATATTGACAGTCGAAGGACAGGATGTGGAAGTTATGAAACACGGCTCAGGGTAGCAAAGCATCATTTGGGTAGGCATTCATACTCTTAGACAGCCCAAAGTGCCTTCTGGCAAAACGTCTAATGGATGAACCATTACAATAATGTAAAATTCAAATCCCACCCCTCTAGAGTTCAAAAAGGCCACCATTCGTGCAATCGTAGCTATTACGCAGATTCAACCACCATATACAAAACTTAAAAGCTGGAGATGCAATGCCAGCAGAACCGATTTTATTTGATACACCAACATCCCAATGAGAACATCATTAAAAGTGTAATCCAACGCCCAAGCCATCAAATGGGTGCACCTGCTTCGCTGAAATTGTGGTACAAGGAACAACAATAAACAGACATTCTGTACATTTATAACTCTCAAGAACTACCGTTCTCCTATTTTCCTAGATCCTCATCATCTTCTTCCTCTTCTGAATCGCTTTCATCATCATCCGAAATCTCCATCCCCTCAGCATCTTTAACAGACACGGTGTGGTCCACCTCCTCCGAAGCCCCGTCCACACCAGACGTCCATGCAGCATCAACCTGAGTGAGTCGAATTTTATGGACGTCGTAAGTGAAGACAGGACGCAATGCCATTGACGGAGATGAGTCCTCAGCTGTCGACGTAGGCGTAGTCTCTAGGTCAACCGCATATCCTCGCACATACGAGCCATCCATATCGGTGGTGACAAGGACTACCAATCGCCTTCGCCCTCCATACACCTCAGGTTCTGCTTTTACCATCTCATCAGGCCATAATAACACTTTGAGGAACTTGAATCTCTTCCCCGGAACTTTCGCCTTTGACATCAACTCCATCTTGTTCTCCCCAAACTGGCATCGGTATACTTTGAGTACGTTTCCAATACCTGCTAGAAGATAGAGGCATTCCTCTTCTACGTGGAAAACGACCGGAGGCACGGAGAGGAGGGTAGGGAAACGAGCGCTGAAGAGGGCCCTCTGTCTGCTTTGCCCAAGGTCGATAAAGTCGATACGGTGGTAGCGAACAGAGGATGGAGGAGTGATGAAGAGGAGGAGAAGATGATGGTAATGATGAGGCGGATCTGGCATTACAACTGCGGCTAGTGCTGTGGCACCCTCGGCGTTGAGTGCGCGCAGACGAGTAGTATAGGCCTGGCGCCCACGAGTCAGACTCCATATGCGAAAAGTGTGATCGCCATCTCCATCAGCCAAGGTGAAAGCAAGTCGCAAAGAGGGGTGAAGAAGGAGGGAGATTATGGGAGCCTTATGACGGCGCATCTGGCGGATACATTGCCACGCACTAGCACCTCTACTGAGGCCGCCGCTGCGACGCCATATTCCCAGACAGGCATCCTCCCCAGCGCTCAAGAGATGACGTGAGTCTGCGAAGACGAGATGACGAACGCTGCCGGTATGCAACTCTAAACAACCCATTCTGCTGTGACGTGACACCGAAAAGAGCTAGAGGGTGAAGAATGTTGGCAAAGATTATTTCCGAAAGATAAATATTTGGCACTATGAACGTATAAGGGAAGAATAGGCAGCTAAGCGCCTTGTTGAGCAGCGGTGGTGAGTCAATGTATACAAATAAATGCTAACTATCCTTTAGAAAAATTCAATCATAGCAAATCGGTAAAAGCACATTGGAGTAATGTTTAATAAGAACAAGCAATTATGATAAGAACTCTAGGTATGGGATGATATCAGGAAAGCAACATCTGGTCCGGAATACGCAGAAGGGAGAAGTCTGAGGGACACAAAACCCATAGAAGAACACAAAGAACGTAGTGCCGCGAAACCAAATACTTAAAACCTTTAAAGTTGATCAAATTGAAGTACAATATTCAATCGCTTAAAGAGTAAGGTGGTTTCCAAGCATGGAACAACTATGTCAGAGCGCGTGGCTCAAAATTCGTTCGGCACATTAAGATGCTTGATCTACGATACTAAGTAAGGTAATAATATGGCCTAATATTGAAACCTAAGGGTTACTTTGAATAAAAGACTAACCGAAGCAACAAAATTAGCTAAAACGTGTAAGGACGTTCACCTATGATGATCATTAAAAGACATTTGTAATAGTGATTGAGATAAAATTTTGCCGATTTTCATTGCTGATGACCGTAATAACGGAAGAGGTAAGATACTACGAACTGGCAAATGATTATGCCACCAAACTGACATAGGAATGAATTCCACAACTTAGCTAACGCGACTTAATTACTCTCTTTTGGTTGAAAAAATGCCCTACGATCAGTCAAGATAATCATGTTAGAACGCTAAAAGTAAATTAAATGCAATTCACCCACAAAAGGCACTTGTGAAACACAACTAGGGCACAAATGCCTAGCAAATGTAAAATGCTCAGAACAAGATAGGGCAAGCACAATATTTGGATAAGGGGTACCAACTTGAATAGATTCATCGGCACTCCCTGAAGCTACGGTGTCGTTCCAGACGGCTAGTGCGGTCACTGGAGCGGAATGAGCCTCTGGATCGATGAACTCGGCCTTCAACCGGTTGGGTCCTGTCTCACGGATGCCCAAGTGCTCATAGGACATGGCGAAGACAGTCCCGTCATAGGAACCACAGACTACATGTAATCGAGGAGGACTAGATTCCGTCATCTGTTAAAAGAAGATGGTGCGAAAATTGTTGGAAAGCGGTCACATGAAATATAACGAAAGTGACACATTCGTAGCCAGCGTCGGGTACAATACGAACTACATATGAACTCAGCCATTTAAAACGCATTTAGTAATGACGAATACAACAGCAGCAATAGATTCAAGGAAAGCTGACCACGAGCTCAGACTGACAGCATGCCAAAAGTGAGCCTGTAGGTTAGTGCACATAGAAGGCTCAATAGATAAATATGCGGTTGCAAAACTGCTGCTATATTTAAGAGGTAAAAGCGATTAATTATCACATTTAACCTAAAAAACTAAAGCTAATGAGGTTTTTTATTTGACTCGGAGTTGTGTTTGGCTGGAACTTCCTTTGGCAATCAGGTGTACTTGAAGGCAGATGTTGGAACGCTGGTCTAGACAGTCTATTGACAGGGCAGACTGGACCAAACACGGTCTTTTATGGAACAATCTCGGCGTAATATCGCTACCGACATCTACACATTAATGTGGTGAAAGAAACACTGGAACAAAGCAAAACATTTTGAGTGGCTCACGGAGGTATAATACTTTGTTTATTTGACCACCTGATGTCTAGTGATCACCTGGGTAATTGCCCTCTCCTTGTACGAGCGATCTAGCCATCGGGCCAAGTCGTGGCCTTATTCATTCTTCTGTTTTCAGAATACATGTAGTCACCTTAAATTAATGCTTGCTTTTACCCTAATGAGGGTCGCGTAGCATTACGGTGGTGGTAGCGGAAAGCGAACACAAATTTTTTTATGAATTCTACCCTACCATCCCTTTTTTGTAACAGTTTTGAGGTGCAGATGAAGAGCTTATACTTCGGGTTGAGAATTTCTGTATTTTTCACAACAGATGGGTAAAGAGTGATGTCTGCTTTTGGCTCCACCTTGTCTCCGAGCTTCACAAACACGCTATTGATGAGTGAGGTGGCCCCGACGCAATGCATTTAAGGAGGTCTCCCTTTTACTAAATCTGTTTTTGACTAGCGTTCCAACGACTAGTTTGGAACCTTATAATAACCAACAGACTCATGCAGCCCTAATTCGCTTTGAGACTTCCTGTAGGGTGAAAGAAGGCAGTAAGTGTGGCTGATATATGTATCTTGAAAAAAAAACAGAGCAAACGGGCCTGAGCATGGCTCGAAGTCCGGCTCACTCGTGCAAGGGCCAAAGAAATCCTAAAGTGACCGCCAAACGTCATGTGTTTACATAAATAAAGTACTACAAGCTCCAGTTCCAGTTGATACTGCTGAATAGAGCAAGTGTAGGCTTTCAGTCTCAAGCTAGCTGATGAGTGGAGAGGCTGGCTGGGGCCAAAGTTGTACGAAGGGAAACTCCGTGAGCTATGCTCAAAAGGAGAGAGTGGTACAATGCTTTGTTTTATGCAACTACCTGGCGTTTGGTAGTCACCTGAGTATTTATCTAGCCCTTGTACGCGGGGACTGGACTTAGGGCCAAGCCAAGGCATAATACCTTCTTTCCCCCCCAGAATAAATTTCTTCAGCTTAACTTAAAGCCTTCCTCCAATTAATAGGGATTTGTGACTGATGCAGGGATGTTGGTTTGCTTGTTAAAAACATGTATACGTAACATCGAAAAGAGGTGGAAACCAAATGTGGACGTCGTCTTAAGCCTTTTTATTGTACAGGAAACAGAAATATCTACATATACCACCTTTCTTTTGGCTAGTAAGTCTAGGGTGATTGTGCGTCTAGCAAAGCCAATTGACGGCTCTTTCCACCTATACGGATGGTTAGGATATCAATAATCTTCAATGCCTTAATGAGGAAATGCGTCTTGATTACGAAAGCAAGTGTGGGGAAGTACTGAATTACGACAGCGTCGGTAGAGTAGAGAGCTACATACGCTCAAAAACTAGCAAAGAATAATGCGTTTATGGTATCGTTTATGTTGGCGCTTAAAAGTAGAGTAGGTCAGACTTCGAAAAATGTACAACATCAGGGAGTCTTACAGTGTGAGGCTAATCTGGCTGAGGATGTTAGAGTGGCTGTGCACCAACGCAAGCGCCTGAAACGTTGGTAAAGTGCAAGTAAAGAATTGGACATAGCAATGTCTGGCTCGGATAAATGGGAGGTTTTTTGTGCATAGTAAGAACCCACAGCGAAAAAGGAACATTGCTGAGTAAGACGGCATGTTGTTGAGGTATGAAATGCCAGAGAAACCTTTTGGAAATGGGGTTTTATGTCTTCACGCCTGTGTTGAGTAGCCAAGGCGCCTAGTGGTCCCACGATTCTAGAGCATAACGTTAAGCGATTGAGTACCGTGAGAGAAAGGCGGCTAGGAAATTCCTTAAGCAATCGACACTTATCATGACTTCCAAATTAACATTGTTAAATTGATCTGAGAAGGTATCATTGTATTGCGGTCGCAAAACTCTGGACAGTGCCATCGAAAATTCCAGGCTACGAGTAATGCGTGTGATCAGAGGCCATCCGCTGCCTGCTAAAGTCGAATCTCAGTGCATTAGGATTATGTTCGAATTGCCTACAGTACAAGACGTTATTTGATGGTTTTGGAAGCTTTCAAGCACTGGATTTATGCGCGCAGTGATTAAAATAGTGACGGCGCTAATTTCGAAACTCATTTCCTAATTGGGCATTGAAAATTATTGAAATCTAAGCCCTTTGTATAGGTGGAAAGAGCCGTCATTTAATGTCAGGAGCTGCAGAACCAAATGCGTTTTCTTAAAAGAACGACTAAGACTAATATGCAAGGCTAAAATTAAACACTTGCGAACAATGTGGATAACGCAAGTAATAAAACAAATCTCCTTGACCAACGCCCCAACGAGAAAATAATCCGGTGGTAATATGCTGATCGGTCTCATTCTCTTGATAGTGTGACAAAATATTGTCAGTTTTGAACTACTGATAAACGACCTTTTGCATTGGACCACTTCTCACTTCACCGATCACTGCTTATGACGTATAAATGATACTGCGCAAAGGTACTCGACTCATCAGAAGTGAAGAAGAGAAGAAAAGAAAAAAGGGATGGCGTCAAAAAGGGACGAGCCATTCGCCCATAGGAGTGACAAAGAGAAGGTGCTCAAAGAAACGAGGCATTTGAACAAGGATTTAGTTGTTAACTTCAACTATAAGATAGGCGGGAGGTATGTACAAATGTTAGCTGCATAAATTGCCATTTGTAGAATAGAGGCGAAAAGTCAGTTAAAAGGCTATGTTTGTCGAGAGGGATATGGAACCTTTAGACTTCCCATCAGGTAGAAGAAGGCATCACTCTGAGCAGAATGCATGCATTCTAAGCTATGAGGAAGGAGTAAGGTCCTGGCATAGCCCAGGATTCAAAGGGTAAAACAAATGTTAAAGTAACAGTCAGATATCAAGTGACAACACAAGCAAAGTATTACAAAGTAGAGTGGATCCCCATTCGCCTGCGCTCAATCATCTGAATGATAGTTTGTTTATGCGACCACTTGTATATCTGGCCGCTGCTTTGGTACTTGTCTTGATCTCGTGCGCGAAGACTGACCATCAAGTCACTTTAAAGCCCAGTTCCTTTTTTGTTCGCGAAATACATATATTTAACGCTACTTATCTTCTAGCCCAACTGTGTGTACCCTTTTAGGGTCGCCAAATAAATCCTGTTATAAAATTCCTACTATGAAAGCTTAGATGAAGGAACTGGAGAGCAGCGAAAATCCGAACCTCATGGGGAACTCACTACACTTTTTTGTCCCAAAGAGGTTACTTCGAAAACAAACACCAGGTACATTCAACATGGATTTGTGTTAGTGAATGTGTTAATATGGTAAAATGGTTTGCTTTTGTGATTTTCAATATAGATGACTGTAGCTTTAGCAACCACGCTAATCTTGCTGAGTAAGTCACCTTTCTGGGATCGTCGAACTCTCTAATGCATTCAGCCCAACATCAAACCTCTTACAACCTATTGAAGTGGTCTCAACAAAAGAATCGGTAAGATACCACTTTACACCTTTTCTATTTCTGTCCTCGATGCCAACGTTTTTGTAAGCTATGATATCTGCGAGCATTTGCAGATGTTGCGCATCTTACGTTATACACCAATCCTTATTAAAAGTAATTTGTTTAATTGGCCTAGGTTACAAGCAATTGACCTTGAGCGACACGGTGTTTTTGCGCTTTGTTGGTTGTGGTAACGCTAGCGGTTTGTCTGTGGATCTAATTTTTCTTTCTTTTAAGCGTTAAGCTTTTGGCATTAAAAGTGGACCTTTGCAGGTGATCAATTATGTGCCCTTGTAACTTGGCGTACGTTTGGTGCTAGCTTGCGGTACATGCCCAAATGAATATGGATAATAAAATTCGCTTTGGAGTTGCGTATATTTCGTGTGAAATTTCATTCCGTTGGACGAAATTGGAATTCGTTTATTGTGTCGAATTGCTTTAATGCATTTGATAGTAGTTTACTCCTTGATGATAAGGTGACTAGCGGTATTGCTTACTTATGGGAAGTATCTTTTTTGGTTCACTTTGTTACAAGCTTAGTTTTCGTATCCTTATTACCAAGCTTGTTGTAGGAGACCGTTGCATTTGTGCTTTTTTATAGAAGTCATATCGCTACCTGAATTAAGCTAGCAATCTGACACCTGAAGTGGAGAAAGCTTAACAGTTTTCATAACATTGCGGTTAGTGGTTACTTCCATGTTACCAGCTTCTGCTTTATCCACTTGATTACAGTGTAAATGGTTTTTTGCCCTTTACGCGGAACAAAGCTCGTTCTTGGTGCGTCAATAAGTAGTTTAAAATCATGCTTTCAGACTTGCATTTTGTATAGAAAAAGCATAAAAATGTTTTAGGAAATGGATTCATTTTACAGTCAAATAGCTGCGGAGGCTGACGATGAATGGAACCTCGGAACTGTAATGTTTCATGTTTTATAATCTCAACCTGAAGACCCAATCAGGTGGTTTTCCTGACAGGGAACCTGATTTGGATGATCTTTTGGATGGAATTGATTTTAATGAAAAGGGTAGTTCTAAAACAGGGACCGCAGCAGCAAGCTCAACGTTAGAGACAAGCTTTGGTAACTTATGAAACTTTGTGTATGAAATATTTTTTTGCATATCAAAGTTGATAATTATGTAACTGAAATGATATTTTTGGAGTTGTATTTATTCCGTGCTATCGTGTTTTATATGGCCGCATTTGTTTTAGTGTAATATGATTGCATTTGTAAAGTCCGGGGGAGTACGTGCAATAGCATGCAAAGTCTGCAATATTTTCCCCGTCATTGCAAAAAAATTCATTAAATTTTGTTGGAAACCTTGCTGGTAGTGCATGATTTTAGCAGAAGTATGACCTTATGTCTTTCTGGTCCATTAGTGTTTGATAACTCGACCATTCAATCTGGTTAGATCGGTTAAGCGCATTGGAACTATGGTTCATTTCTTATAAATCCGTTTTATAACTTACTCTAGCCTTTTAAATTGCAGTGAAGCTAACTACGAATCATGATTATCACTTCATGAGGGTTTTTGGTTTGTTGTGAAATGTCCTACCAGTGCACATCCTTAATACGCAGATTATCTGTAAGAATCTTATCATATCAGTTGTAACAAGTGTGTTCAAAAAGATTATGGGGTTGGTTGGTTCATAGTCTTCTTAAAAATTTTCTGAACTGGATTGGCAAAACGAAAGCAATTGTTAATCACGAAGGGCCGAACTATTTTAAGCGCCAAGCAAACATCTGTCATAAAAATCAGAGTTTTGTGATTTGTTGTAAAGGCGATTTCAAATTCGAATTTAGATTCCTTAAAGTTGTCTGCTGAGGCTAAACCTTTGGGCGTATCGTCATTGAACGAGTCATCCAACACCTCATCAACCATCAACTCCGCTGTGCGTGGTGTACAAAAGAAGAGTGGTGCCACCGCCACATCCAGCTCCCGACGGAGTCTTCTCGATTCTTTACTGAATCCTGAAGATACAGATACCATGGCTGGTGGGACTGAGGTCAATCTGGACAGTTCATTTGAGGTTAAGGCCGCACCCACGGCAGCCACCTCTCGACGCTCTGTGCGGTTTTCGGAAAAACCGGTAACGACACTTGAATTATCTACTCATTAGAATAAAAATAACTTTTGTTGCCATATTCTTAAGTATTTGTTCCTAAGGGTATAACTACTAAACAGCCATTTAACTGTACATTTCGAAGTTCAATTGAAAAAGCACATTAAGGCCTCTGTGGAATGAGTTGACGTTTCAAGACTCAACTGAATGCAGCGCGTGTCAACAAAGAACACCGACATACCAAGTTTTCCACTAACGTGCATATCTTCTTCTGCGATCTCCTTAATGCAAAGCAATATAGTTGAGGAGCCATTCTTAGTTGCATGAAATAGAGTTGATGAATGAGCCACCAACGCGTTCCTCCATTCACCTCAGCAATAAGAATGAAGCAAAGGAGGGGAAGCCGTTTAGCAATGTTTCATAGACACATGAAGATCAAGAAGGAAAAGCGTAGAACAATCACAATCGAGTGTTCGCCATTTTTACTAAATAGAGGTTATTAATTGCTCAAGGACTCACAATATTTTGTTCTCCAGTAAATGTATGTAATGTAGTAAAAGAACCCAGTATCAACAAACAGTAACTTTAAAGAGAGGATTCTATCCGTCAGTACGAAGTTCATTTCGACGAGGTAGATGGGCTGTAGAATGCAAGAAGTAAAGCTGCTCTTACCTTAAGGCCGGCCAGCAAACAACGAGGATAATTTCGAGGGGTGGAGGAAGAGAGCAACAATGTGTTTGCCTAATCCTTCTCCACTGCTATAAATGAATCACTCTGAGAAGCTTTAACAGCCGCATTTTTGAAACCAAGTTAGCCTCAGTTGGAGAGAATAGCAGATGATCCCGTTTTAAAAGAACGGTTCTCCTGTACGGGCCATACACCGTTCATGTGTATACAAGTAGAAACAAGTTACTCTAGGGATCTGTAGCGGCTGCTTTGAGACGTTTTTAGCTGTGATGTAATTTTAACTTTTGCTCGCACATGTTTTCAACATCACTTATTCTGGTAGAACTTGCGGTATGTTAAACAAGAAATTTTAAATGCGGTTAAGTGAAGGCCTTAAAGGCTGCATCGAATCGGTTAGCTAAAGTACATCTCCAGGTTGTATTGTTTCACTTTTGTCAAACCTTTTGGCGTGATGAAACCATATTCCGATATTGCTGGCCATGTCTGCATGGATTTCGCTTAACCGGCGGATAAGTGGAGGAGGTCTGTTTCCTTCACATGGGTACAACAAACAACCTTATAATTGGCCTTAAGGATAGTTTATGACTAATGCCGTCTCAGTTGTCTGCCTCAGGACTGGTCACATTTACCAAAGATAGGCGTCATTTCCAGTACTGCCGTTGGAGACATTACGGGTTTACTTAATTTTAGCGCATACAATTTTTCCATGCGATGAAGCGTACTTTTCATGATCAAGTTCGCCTTGCACTGCCACCAATTTAGAACTTGGAGCTAATGACATAGTTTTAGAAGCGACTCACCACAGGAAGATTAAGTGGCAAAGCATCGGAATCGGGAGTTGGGCAAACAGGTAATTTAATGCAGATTTCACGTACTTCACGTAGAGCAAATCATGCTCGACTAACAAAGGCAGTGACAATCTCAAGCATTCATAAATTACCTGAAAAAGTAACACATCTATGCGTTTGTAATTTTTTCTTGAATGCAGTTTCGATCTCCTCCGCTGTTGAACAACTTTCTCTTATTCTTACAGTAAAAACACCAAACAAGGACATTGACTATTGAAATGGCTGATAACCTATTCCACATTTTTGCCACCAAGTGGATAGTCTGAGACGTTTTCTTTATTTGTTAAGCAAGGCGACAATGCTCCAGATCTTACCAGTGTGAGTGAGAAGACAAAACGGGATGGTGATGTTGATGTCAATGACAAAGCCATTATCTCGCGACCACGGACAGCGCCGTCAGAGCGGGATAAGTCAGGCATGGGATGGGGTGACCTTGAGGGGGATCTGGACTGGTTCTCGAAGGATCACAATGTTGGTAGTGGTAGGGGTAGTGGGTGAGTTCAATCGGTTTTTGTAGCAAACTGGTCATCTTCCATGCTGATGTCCTCTGAAATGGTACAGATCCATGCTTCTTCAAAGAGCAACTCTTAATTGCTGCACGTTTTGCAGTGAATTTAAGGGAGGCATGCAAAAAACCACCTGCAATATCTCTATCGAGGGAGGTCTAGATTTGGATGCCACGCTAACTGAAAAGAAGGCTGTCTCTGGAGGAAGAACGAATCCTAGTAGGCGATGAAGCATTGGTTTTACGTACAACTCTAAATTCGCAGACATGTAGTGCAGCTTACGTTTTAGCGGAGGAGAGATCCATCCTCGTTGGCGGTGGCAAAGGGAACTCGGTAAGCTTTCTTACCCTTACTTGCTTGGACATAATCTCGTGAGAAGATGGGTTTTACAGGTAAAAGTCAATGAAAATACATTCAATGCGGTTCTTTATCGTACGCTGCTACTGAGATGCCATCTGTTTAATCAACTACTACGCAATTTAATGCTCACTTCATTCATTCATCTACAAGCTTAATTCGAGAAATAAGTCTGAAATAAGGTTTTAGCGAATTAAAACAAACTGACTATATGAAAAAAATTAACAAGAAAATTTCCTCCAAGCGATTAGAAAGCTGTTGAAGCATAAACATCTGGAGGTAACGCTCCTTGTGGTCGGTACATTCTAGGTTCGACGGTCAATAAACTTTCGAGGGTCGAAGGAACGATCTCCGTCTTGGGAGCCTCAGCGATCGCCTTCATTCCTGGTACTTTTTCTCTTCTGCAGCATTGGGAAGATGAAAGTGGCGACTCAAATATCATGCCTCATCCATTTTACAAAACACCGACAGAGTTGCCATGATAACACGGCGAGTTTGGGCAATTTGGGCACACTTTGCACCGTGCATAACAGTGGTGTCATTGCCTACGACGTATAAGTGGCTAGAAAAGCAGATAATCTCCTAAATCCCCTTAACAGAAGTGGAACCAAGCCATGTGACCGCCCAGAGTGGTGTTGAGTGTATTCCTTCTGTAGTAACTAAACAAATATTTTGCCCCATATTCGTCAATAGGAACCAGATATTCACTAGTTGTAGAGCATTATCCCAAAAAAGGAAATGTTTGCTGCAAACTAGCAGCATTATCTTTCCCTAAGTCATACTGACCGTCGCAAAGTAGTAAGGGAGTTTAGACAAAGCAGGCCGTGCAGCTCGGCCTCTAGACTACCCTAAAAAGAGCAAAAAACGCTCCCCTATTCATTGATTGTTTTGGAGAGCCTGGACTGAGCCTACAAACATCGTGGACAATGAAGGCCCGATATGTGGTGTAGGAGCGGGAGACCAACAGCATCGGCAACTGTATAGGACCTTCTTTCCATTCTTGTCAATGTTTACCTACAGCAAAATGATAAATTCATTTTAACCACACAAAGGCGTTGTCCACCGCAAATTTTGAATGTCGCTTAGACAGACGCTGTTATCTTTGAGGTGGCAGCTGCCAGCCGCATTCTAAAGGATCATATGACATCTACTGCCTAAGAGGGAATGTCGTTTAACGTAGAGCGCATGTTCTTTGTCGGGAATTTTCTTAAAACAAATTATATGCTTTTCCAGCATGTTGGTACGGTTCAGACCCCCTTTAGCGCCCTCCACCTCTGTTCTATTGCTGCTCAGCTGTGCAGCCAGGTCGTTATCGGATCCTCTCAGGAGTGTATGCTCAGGATGTCCAAGTTACAGTAATTGCTTTTCTGGAACTACCGAATGAATAGAACAACTGAAGAATCAACTTGCGTGTAGCCCTTATGCTAGAGATTCACAAAGACTCGAACATCTGTAGTGTGAAAGACGACCACTCCTTTTATGTCCAACTTTCTATTAAAACTGGGTAAGAGGTGTCTATTTATAGGAGAAATATCAGAAGTATAAGCGAGGCATTTAGGTGCTTCACAAAGTTATTTCCAGCTCAAAGGTGTGACAGAAGTAGAGCGCAGCAATTTGAGCTTTACATCGCCTCAACTTGGATGAGGAATTGGGATTTGCACTGTAAACTAAAACGAACGCCACTGTGTTACGCAATGTTCGTGGACTTATATTTCGTTTGTGATCTCAGATTAATGATGCCGCGACGGATGGTTCAGAGACTGCACCGAAGCTAAGACAACTGCAAGCTGAAGTTGAGGCTTTGCGCGGGCTCCTCAAAATGACAAAAGACTACCACCGAGAGGAAATCAAGTTGCTTGAGCAGTCTCACTCGTAAGCCCAATCCCGTTCTCCCGCTTCACTCTTCTCATTATTATTTCGAACACTATACACGAAAGCTTACATGGGTATAGTTGCTCATTTCTATGACCAAACTGAGGCATCTTTGATGGTGGGAGGGAATAATTTTTTTTAGAGAAAACTATCTACCCAAGTAGAATTAGGGCTATTGACGGATACGCATCCCTAAATGCATTACTAACCGAAACTGTAATGGTAGCCGGAAAGATAGATAGAATTATAATACTGTCTGTCTGTCTGTCTGTCACAGTTTTATTTGCTTGAAAGGTCAAAAATGAAGTTACTGGAGGAAAATTCCCTTCGAAGGGAGAAGCAGTAAGTACGCTTTTTGCATGAAATTAATGACATTTGTAGAAAGTAGGCATTACCCTTCCTTCAATTCCGACATTCCTGAGGATTTTAGCTACCGAAGTAAGCCAAGTGTGTAAGCACAGCTGGTCAAGTGTCGGGTGTGGTGATAAAATGTTGTTAAAGTTAAGTCATCTCATTGCCGGTATGACAATAAGCATTCCACTGCCGTTGTGACGCATGCCAACATTACGTAGGGAAATATTTAGAGAATGTAGTCGAAGCTCCATCGCTGAGTCGTCACCAATTTCTTCGATTAAAGTTAATCGCCAAGACTTCGAAGGAACTCTGGAATTTCGCTTAGAAAGCCTTAATTTGGTGTCAAGACGAAAGACAAACAAGCACTTCACTGGTCATGGCAGTGCCTGCCGTTAGTGGGAAGCCTTTGGAGCTTGGTGTCAATTCAAAGTCAATGGGTTGGAACCAGGGCTAGATCCTTTCATGCGCCTTCAAGGTTTGCTTTGAAATAGTACGAGAGGAATGAGAGATGTCTATTAACATGTCGTTGCTAGCAAAATTAATATGATTAAAAATGACTTCCTGATGTGACAGATTTAGAGGAGAGGAATCAGGTGCTTCCAATTACCGTCAATATTAGTTCTAATTGTTGTGCCGTAAGAGAGGCAAATTAATTGCAAGTGTTTGTGTAAAATGCCTAAAATGCTGCTTTTTGGTATGATAAACTGGAATGCTGATGTATCGTGATTTCTACTTTTTAATTTTGCAAACTCCTTTTCTACACTCCCAGTCTACAGGAGGAGCTGGACTTCACCGTGTCGCAGTGCAAGTTACGGATTGGTCAGTTGGAAAGCTTCCAAGAAACAGCTCGAGCCGACTTCGCCGACACCATGGCGGCAGCAAGAGATGACGCTCTAAAGGCGGTAGCTTCGCTCCGCAACGAACACACGTAGGTTTTTTTGCCTCCTATCCACTGCTTCAAACGGAAAATTTTCTCTTTTGCTATGTCCCAGCTCTTATTTGCTTCATTTTCCTTGCAATGCAGTCTAGAATTAGAGGCTCTAACCGAACGACATGCCAAAGCATTAACAAGTCTGCGAGAAGCAAATGCCACCGAGGCGCGAGTTCTCACAGAGATGCAACCAGCCGCGGAAGCCTTGCAAGCTCTCCTCGGCCAACTTCTCTTAGCCACAAAAGAAGTGCAGCAAGCAGAAGTTGAGCATCAAACCGCGGTAGCTCAGCGTCTTGTCAAATTGGAGAGACGTGAGGAGCTTATTCGACAGGCCGAAGAACGGTTGTGGGACAGGGTAATATGAATACGCCAGTCATTCCGTGCATATGTCAGTAGCGTTTATTCGTCGACACTTTTTGTATTTTTTAGGAAAGGGAGTCCGACAAGACGCATAAGCTGCTAACAGAGGCGGTGGGAAAAATGGAAGTACAGTTGAGAGAACAGAGCAAATTGTTGGAGGATGTAGGTTAAAGGAATGCATTTCCATTTTGCCATCTAGGATAGGTGGACACTGAAACAGGAGCAGGCGCGTCTGACAAAAATTCAAGTAACGCTGGAGGAAGATCGACGAGCTCAAGTTGAACAAGCAGGAAGGGAGCGCATTGAACTTCAGCAGCTTATAGTGAGATTGCTCTCCTAGTGATTTTGACTTTTAATGTCTATCATCAACCTCCATCTGTAATCAGCCGATGCTTTCCTTAAATGTCGTCGTTCTTTTACTTTTAGACAAATTTTTTTGATGAGCACAGAGAAAGTCAGTCTCGTTTATCAGCAGAACGAAACGCCATAGCAGAGGAGCAACAGAAGTTTCGAGTTGATCAACTTTGTTGGCGCCGACGACAGGAGGAGGAAGAGAAGAAATTGACATGTGTGAGCCACGTAATTGCTTAGACACAAGTTGTGTGCAGTCTATCAAGCAAAAATTGCACCTTCCTACGATAATTTCATGTTTGCCTTCGAGAGGACGCTTCTTTGTTTTCCGTATTGTTAAAAGGCTCTCAATCAGTGGAGGTGGGAGAACTTAGATAGTGTTTCTCTTTCCAGTTGAATGAGGAGATGACGAGAACAAAGGAATCACTTCAGATAGAAAAACACGCTCTCGAGGAAAGAATGCATCAACTGAAACTTAATGAAGTAAAACTAACCGAAACGCAACACCATCTGGACATTGTTAGGTACTTTCACACCCTTTTCGATTTCCACCATCCGAATGCTAAGGTTTGAAATGCAATGATGTTGTTTACGAATGGAACCGATACTTTCCATAACCTTCATTGTTGAAATTGAGACGCTCAATTATTGCTAAAAAAATTGCTCATTCAGGCAGTTCATAAGTCTTGATTCAACTCTTGCTTTTGTAATGCCTTATTCCTACTTAATTTTGCCTGACTTGAACACCTTTTACTCACGTAGGAGTAATCTGCAGGGCAAAGAGGTCTGTCTAAACGAGCGCGAAGCCGAACTGGACAGACGGCAGGAGGAGCTGTCGAATCGTGCCAGTACACTGAGTGGGACACAGGCGGCGGTGGCTGAAATCGACGCTAAGTGTCGTCGACTGTTGGAGGAGCAGGCCCGGGCTCAGGCGGAGCTGCAGAGTCGCAAACAGGAAATTGAAGACATGGAGAAAAGGCTTACAAAAGTTAGTATTCCATTTTGGGTATGACTTATCGAAAGTCCTTAAAATTCTTAAATTTTACCTTTGTATTAAGAACAAGCTTTTTGGTGGAGTAGTTAGTTATGTTTATCATCCATCGAAATCAGAGATTTACTGGCAGCCTTACTTGTGCGAGCATAAGTTGATCAAGTTTTCCCAACGGCTTCGTGCCCTTTGCGGAGCCATCGCTATTGCTCCTCGACATCACTCTAACCGGTCTTGACTTTGGGGCGAACAGTCGTGCGCACACTGATTAATGAACCAAAACTTCAACACGAGTATGAATTGAGAAACACTCTTCAACGTTCAGTACACTTCAAGGTCAGTGAAACGTTTTCAGCAGAAAGCAGGCAAACAAGTAAGGCTTGAAGGCGTTAACAACCCCTTGCCCACAGCAGTTTCTAAGAAATGAAGAGATTGGTACTTGAATGGGTGCTGGATTTGTGCATTCCCAAAAACCCAATCGGCGAAGCTTTCGTTGAGGGATTGTAAAAGCGTACGGTAAAGGCTGAGGCAAGTTATTCGATATGGTGGGTCAATACGGCACTTCCGCACATCCATAAAGCTTGCACTTCATTGCTCGCTACTGCCATTAGGAATGCTTAACCAGTTTCCCAGAATGTCGATGAGCGCAGTTCATAGGAAATGCGCTCCTTCAAACAAAGACGCTACAACGTTCCAAGCCGCCCTCATTGTGGAGTTGGAGCCTTGGCATGGCCTCAGGGCCAGTTTATCTAGCAGAAGCAAGATGGTCGTCAACGAGACCGTTGCTTGTACAGGCAGTGGGGCAAGTAAAGCATTAACAATGCCTGTTAATTTGATTTATTTTGTTTTAGAAAGAAGATGAGGTAGCTCGACGGGAGGCTGAGTGTGCAAGGAAAGAGAAGGAGGGAAAGAAACTGCTCTGTTCCCGATGCAAACAAGCGGTGAAGAAGGTGTTGCGTGGTAGTCGTGAATCCAGCATAAAACGACATCAGCCAGATCGTGATGTGGAGGCCAGGTGGGTAGAAAGTACGTCAGTCTTGTGACTTTTACCCCACTACTTAATAATGAGAATGGATGTTCAATGAGTAGTGGAGTAAGCGGGTTTGGTTTTTGGTCTTGCACGTAATTTGTTGAAGATCTGCTCAAGGGGTTTTCGCTCTCTCTTTGCCAAGCTCCAAGCTCAGATAATCTCTGTCACGACGCCTTTCCTGCAAAACCCGAGGCGGTGAGGTTGATCGAAGATATTTCGAATCAACAAACGCGATCTCGCTTGCTGGAACAATTGAGGCAGGAGCTTGCAAAGGTTGGAATCTATTAAAATTCGGCAAAATCAATTTGCCTTACATTTCGCTTTGATTCTTTTTGCCATTCTACAGTCTGTTCACTAGTACTGGGCTTAATGATGCATTCAACTCATCCTCTTTCAAACACTTGCCTATACGTTCTACAGCCTTGAGGCACTTCTTTCTCTTACTTTAGGATAACGAGTTCTTGGAGGATGAACGAATATTTTTAAGTGTACTCAGACATGCTCCCTACACGCAATGAGACTTTCCCTTGATACTGTGATCCTGACTATTTAAACAACCATTTTTGTCATTTTTAAATAACATCTGCATCGACATACTTCTTTTATCTACGACACAGAAATCAGCTCATCGTCTTTATTAGTTAATACCATGACAAACTACCTCCAGTGAGTTGTTCACCTTCAATTTCGTTATTATTAGCCATGATTTATAAGGAAGTGCAGTTTCACAACAAATCACTTGGCTAAAAATTACTCTCCGAAATACTAACGTTTCACTGTAAGCCCTTCTGGCTTGATTCTATGCTCTCTGGTCCCACTCCACTGAAAGGCGACTCTACTACAGTTTAGAAGCTTTTAGTAGTTCCGGTCATTTGAAGCTCATCTGTAAGATGCGTCATGGAATTAACGGAACTGTAATTCCTCGAACTCAGCTAAGGTCTTTCGACTTTTGGTTGTGGAGGTGGGAAAAATCGCCTTAATAAAAACGGGTCGCTTGAGGGTATTCGGCTAGTCAACCACATGAGGATCAGCTCTGTATTCTATGGCAGAGCCGTTGAATCACATCAATTTTTCTAGCAAAAGCTTTTGGTGATGGGCCACTTATGAGCTCTGAGGTAAAACATCCGGTGGACAGCCTGGTCATTTCTCATACCGAAGATTCCTATTCTGCTCTCTATTATATCATTTTTTTCTTTTTGATGGAATGAGTAGGCTTCGATTGAGTTGAGATCATTTGATCTTTACATTTAGTAAGACGTGACCCAGTGATCAGCTAGCAGGCATGTAAAAAACAAACTTGTGCCAATGGGCATTAAGAATCGAAGAATTGTTTGGGTGAGTCTGCGTCCAAGTGCAAGGACGAAGGTTTATGGCATGCCTGCACCTTCAACGCAGTCCGACAATCAAAAATGTGCGAAGTCGTGCATTGACCGACCGCTTCTAAACTGTAAAACATGAATAGCTAATTCAAAAATAAAACCACTACACTGAGAAAATCAGTAGAAGTTTACTGCTAACTTTATGCAATCCATCAATGTCAATGTTTTTCCGCAGGCAGTTGAATGGATTGGAGAAAAATGTTCGACCCATCAGATGAATTGAATTAGAAAGATCGCAGCAACAGAGGCGCAGAGAAGTAGAAAAATCAGAAATTTACCAGACGCGCCGTACATAAAGAAAAGTACTGAGTTTAAGCTCTGGCGGAAGCAAAGTACACGGGAAGCGCTTAGAAAGTGCGTGGAAGCCCTGGAAAGCCAAATGTGATTTTTTTGCACAAATTGTGACACAACACTAAAGTTGGAGGAAAGCCGAAGCCGTAGACACTTTTTTGTTTCCAGGTTTGAGGTTATAACCGCACATTGAAAACCGGGTTGCCTTTGCTACATGTTTGGAAGGCTTCCAGCGATTTCGAACCCTGACCCGCTAGCATTGGAAGTGGGTGGAGAGACCTATTCATTTCAATTACACTTCTGCACCTTTATAGAAAGCGCATTTTCGTCACCTTTAGCAGCTTGATGTGATAATGCCTGAGTAATAAGGTTTGAAGCTAGAGGTCCACTAATTTACGTTATACGTAAAAGTTGCAACTTGCTGTGGCGGCAACCCTTCTTGAACTATCTTATTCGTCTACTTACAAAGCTGTTTGATGTTTAATCATTCAACATTTAAACAGAAATCGACAGTTGGCTTCTGTCCTTTTTGAACCAAAATACGCATCTGCACGCTTTCCATGCCCCCTCCCCCCAAGTTTTGAGCTTTGTTTGAAATTGTTTACTGTGGCAAGCCCTTCTGTTGTTAAAGAAGGACTCCATTGTCCAGTTCCATGATTTCATACCGTTTTTTATGCATAAATCAAATGAATTTGGAGGCGTCGAGGCGATGAAGAGGATCTGTGTACTGCGGTAAGCGTCAATCGCTACTGCTCGCAAGATCAGTTCTGCCGTCAAAAAAGTGTCACGAAGGGCCACTTGCCATAAGCCATTGGATGGGTCAGGATTTATGACTAAATTAACGGTCGTCATTTGCATATCTTTTGAGCGTTTGAAGTAAAACTGGATGTTACCACCAAATGGATAATGCGTTGGATAAAACTGGTACTTAGGAGTACAAAGATGTGGAAATGCGGTCAGAACGAGAATGCGCTTATGCCCCAAACACACCGAGCTGAGCAGGGGCCTATATTGGAAGAAAGGTGTCCAAATGGTAAAATTGAATAATTTATGCTGACAGCTTGTAATTTCGAAAAGCAATTTTGCTACACTTAAATTTGATTACAAGTGTAATTCAAAACCTCCGCCGCTACCGCTGTCACCACCAATACTGAAGCACAGAACAAGAAAATCTCTCATTCAAGAAGCGAAAAAGTAGGTGCACTTTATTTAAGACATGCAGCAATAAATGTTGTCATGAGTCTCCCATTCTTCAACTCCACATTCTCCCCTTTCGTAAGAGGTGCAGAACTACGTGAGCGCCGCCAACACCTCTGCAGTAGCAATGAGCAGAAAAATCCACACTGCCAACATATATTGGTGCAATTCGCCGTGCCTCTTCTCCGGAGAACCCCAGTGTAGGTCTACTTAGCCCACCAGTTTTGCATGGGATAGACTGCCATTTCCACCTTCATTCCTCTTTCTTTATACTCATGTGGTCCCAAATACGCTGGACATTTTAGTGCCCAGATTTTGGATTTTCAAACGCAAACCCTTTTTACCTTCACTTAAAATGAGTCGGCCTAAATATTGCTAGCCTTTCGCTAAGGTTGTTGGCCAAAGAGTCCATTATGCCACCTAGCAAACGTAAGAAATTTTGTTTTGTTCCTTTCTAATGAGTGTTTTAATTTTTATGATATTAATTTTTGACTTGAAAAGTGAAATAATTGGGACTAGGGTTGGCTGATGAGTATGGGGAAATGTGGGATGGGGACTCAAGCTCATTACATTGTTTAAGATGTGAGACATTAGTCTACGGAAGAGAGTGCAGTTTCCGTCTCGCATCACAGACTTTATAGGCTGTTGAAGGAATTGAGGTGGCACTTTTCATTAACCATTACTCTTCTGCATTAAAAAGAGCACTGTTGTTTATAATTTGCTTTAAAGTGAATACAATGTCGGGACCGTAAATCAACGGCTTTCGGTAGGAACATTGGTGGCAATGCTCAACATTTGTTACTGTCGAGGTGTTAGTAGCACCACGACGCGCTTAGCACCCTACTCATGGAGTCGACCATTTGAACTTTAGGAGTGAGGGACGCACCCTATTTGTCACTTTTCCACCATTCGATGGAATGTAGTTGGTTAGTGCAGATGACGTGAATGACGCTGCCGAACACTTTTTGATGCAAAGATTAGTGGTCAGCGAAGACAAGGACTGACATACATAGCATTGAAGTGTTTTTAGTTATTGTTAGTAATTTTTTTAACTTAGGATGATGGCTACGTAGGAGAAGAGCACTATTTAATCCAATCTGTGTTTCCTGCATTTCACATAAACTCTTACTTGACAAAGCAAAAATTATAAATATAAATTATAAGTGTCTGGTTTCTGTTAGAGAAGTCGACGATCGTGAAAACAAATGAGTAGAACATAAGGAAGTACTTGTGATAGATGTAATAACATCACAATTAACAATAAAAGCAAGATTAATTGATGTGAACAGGTCGTGAAAGAAGCCCCGCCGTTAAATGGTAAGACACAAGGTAAAGGGAAAGTGGTAGTGATGATGATTATGATGCCGATGTTGAGGATGAGGATGAGAAGGAGGAGGAGGAGGAGGAGGAGGAGGAAAGTCGTGAGTGCGCGCATTTGTGCGTAGACGTTTCTTATATTGGTTATGTGCACAGAAGTAACTTTCCGCAAATATCAATTTTATTCCACTACTTTTAATTAACCAACCCTCACATTTAGCCCTCTTTGGTCATTGGAGCCATCATTACGCATTGGGAACACGAGTGACTGCCTGTATTTGAGGCTACAAAGTAGCTTCGCAAGGAAACACAGTTCAACTTGTAATAACCACCACTCATTGCTAATATGAAGTAATGATTAATTGAGATTTTATTCTGGGTTGTGCAAGCGAAACCATGCAGACGCGAAGGATTGCATTCCACGGTACGATAGCGGAGTTGGTGAGCACAAGCTTGTAGAAGTCACAATGAATATTTGGTAAACCAATGATAGGCTTAATTCCTCTCGGAAGCATCAACAGACGATACGCATTCTTAATGAACTTAATGAACTGGTAGCATTTGTCCGATTACCTTCACCGATAAACAAAAAATGTAGTTTAGCGAACTTCGTAGGATAAGTGGCGTAGCGTATGAACGGCTATGCTGCATCGCACTTGATTATGACTTCTCTAAGGGTGTAATGGAGTCGTACCCACGTGAGGAAGAAAGCGACTTCGTCCTATGCATGTCTGACCTTTACTTGCTCATTAATGTCTCCATCTTCTCCCACCAATCGCTCTCCAAGCGTAACACATTTCCTTCGCCTTTTATTTAATTTCATCCTTCTCTGTCCACATTAATTGTGATCTTGGTCACAGAAATAGTGAGAGAGAACTGCTCTTCCGAAAACTATTCTATGTAATAAATGCAGATCTTCTCAGTAAATTTGGTACCACTTGCAGTAATGTATTGTAAAGGGAAGGAAACGCTATATTTAACGGGGTTACTAATGCTGATCCCTTGAGGTACATTAGCTTGACAACGTGTCATAGCACGACTCAGGGTTGCCATGCCAGCACAGAATGAGAGCCGATGGTAGTAATATGGGACGCGCATGCTCAATGATAATCCCGCTATTTAGTAACTGAACCTCTCGTTGATGTGGTTGTAGTGAGATCGGCTTTGGCAATCAAATGTTATTCCTACATTGCGTGACCTCATGCCTTAGTAACGGGGGAGACTTGCGTAACTAATATATGATTGAACACATTTAAGCCTTAGTCATCAGGATTGTCATCCCCACTTTTTCGGAGCATTTTTCCAATCTAACGATCCGAAAGCATCTGACAATGTCCCTTTAGCTTTAAAGTTACGACCTTTATTCTCGTAATCTTCTAATGTCATCAGTTTAAATCTGCGAGGGGGAGGCAGTCATCTCTTCGCACAGTCCAGACAGCACGTTCTAGAGTTGAGCTTAGTAGCGTGCCGAACACATTTGCGCTCACGTTGACCTAAAACCTTTGACAATATACAGTTTCGTGGTGAGGGAACTATGGGTTTGCTTTTACTTGTGCGGACACCGCACCATAAAGAAACGGTTGTTAGTAAAAGTTTGAGGCACATAGAAGACATGATTATTAAGTGACCTCTCCCCAGTCTATGCTGCAGTGCCAGCGCTGGGTGTTGGCTTAAAACTTGCTGAAATTTTTGTTTAAAAGTACCCTCTATTTACACGCTTGAAATGAAAGGAACGGAGGACTTTTAACTTCCTTACCTTTCATGACCGCCTACAATGCGTTTCATTTCATGACTGTCTCTTGCTAAGCGTTTTCTTGGGACATGAGATGTGCGCTGCATCTTGTTGATGCACAATTATGATCTCTACGTAGTATTAGGATGCGAATTCTGTAGAGAAGCAAAAACACTAAGTGATGGGTTAACACAAGTGGTTTGATCGTTAACAAGTACTCTGGTACATCAACAGTGGCGAGGACTGCAAAAAAGGGGAGTAAAGTTTTGATGAATGTAACTTAATACCAATAAAACATCCTAACTCGACTTATAGATTTATAATCTCTGCATTCTTTATTTCGATCATTGGTTCTGCACGAGCAGTTCATTACCGCATCTTTAAGGTGAAGACCAGTTCCATTGAGAAATGCTGTTCTAATTTGATAAACGTTTTTTGTGGGAGAATGTATATGTGATGTTGCTCGGGAACTTTTTGTTTGTTGATTATCTTTCATCGGTCTTAACCTTATTAAAATTGATTGCAAAAAATTCGATTCGCGGCGAACACAGAATATATTTGAACAACCATTTTCCGACTAGTGCTGGTCGATTCACTGGCTACTACCTTCGACCATATTTTTGGGCAGACAAACACTTTATTGCGGAACGAAGGCCACCTTCATCGGATTGCGAGTATTTGACTGATTTCAAACACCGACACGAGGTCCGATATGCACCCGCCTCTTACCGAAATTTAAATCCACCCCTTTTAATAGTGAGTTTGGCCTGATGCATAGTTAGCAATCTGCGAAGTTACACCAGAATTTGAGCTGGTACTAAATAAAGGGTGATTAGCAAATGAATAGTGAGTTTTCATTTGATCCCGTAAAAGTTAATAGTCTCCGACCAAAAAGTTGCGCAGTCCATTTGACTACTAATGACTTTGCTTCTTGCTGATCCGAAGATCTAAGAGCTCATCGTATTGCACACCTTAAACGCATCCCTCAATTTAGCTATGAAGCCCCACATGTTCACCACAGAGTACACAAGGTCATTTTGTGTTTTTTGCCGTGCTATTCGAAAATCACTTCACTATCCCTTCATTGCGTCATTCATGTATCACAGCCATAGCCACCTCCTATTGTCATTCCTGTAGGGTCTCTTAGTGGCCATAGCAACGCAATTATATTTTTTGACGTCGCCACAAAGTCCTTGCCACATTTACCTCTAGTCATAGCAAGGCTCCCCTTAGATACGCGTTTAACAACGGCCTCAGTAGCGCGTGTTGGCTGAACAAAGGTTAAATGACTTTATTTTTTGGTATCCTTCATCGAATTTTTTTACTTTTCCAGAAGTGACATAATTGGAAGCAAATGCTTTTCCTTTAAGAACCTCCCTTTTTTGAGCTGTTTGGGCAAAAGCTTTATATTACCCCTCTTTTATGTCTCCTACAACCAACGACCTTTTGATTGGATATTCAATTTTGCCTTAAAACCTGCAATGTAGTGCCCGGCAGGATGGCTTCTTTTCTAGCCAATCAGGGTGATGGCGAGGGCGTTGCAAGTTAGCAGAGTGGGTTTCAGAAGGGCAGGGGAATAGGCGTGCATATAGCCATCTGGCTTGCGTAAAATCTGCCCTCTGTCTGCAACCCTGAGCATTGAGTGGTAAACTCCTGTACGGCACGAAATCTTCTACATAAACACCTATCGTCTCAAAATTGAAAAGTTCATAGCCAGTGCTTCTACGGTTTGAAAGATAAAAAAGGAAGATTTACATTTTTTGGCCACCATTCGATTTCCTACATTTTCCCCCTTCTCTCCTCCCCTTCTCCTCTCTCCAATTTATGCATTCACATTCATCACACATCCCATGGTGAGGTTCAGTCATTCGTGCTGAAGTTACAGTGATGGCTATGTCCTTGTCTGTTTGTGAAAGTGTGAGAATGGCCCAGATTGATCCCCTTCTTACGCGATTGTGGAAGGAACAGGATGATCCTTGGCCGCAATCTTGACCGGCTTCCGGAATCTCATTTTTGATTCATGTCACTATCCTCGATGACCACTTTTGAGGTGGGAAGGTGTGTTGACTTATGTCCTCGCCACTCACGCCTCATACATCGACACAGGGATCCATAACATGCCCGCTTTTTGGCGTTTGCTTGTCGCACTTCTTTCCAACGCAACTATTTTCCACTTTAGACTACTTGCTAATGGAGGGAGTTGTGATGAAGTCATGTCCTCAGAGTGGTCTAAAGGTTCTAATGGAGTCTGACATTTGACATTTTATTGGTGAATATTATGGGCTATTAGGCAGCAAAATCCGATGCTGATCCAATTCCTTGAGGAGGAATCGAGTGAAGTAAGATTGGTTCATAACTAAGAAAAAAGGGTTGTTAGTTGACACATGTGCAAACCTATACAAGAAGCTGTGATTATTTCCTTGATTCCGGTAATCAAGGGAGTCTCGTAATCCTCACGTGATGCAGCTCCAGCGGTGGGAAAAAGTGACAATGAACGCAGTTTGCATGAGTGAAAAGTTAGTGTGTGATTTCGAGAGGAATGTGTATCCAGTAGTCAGATCGCATTTCTGCTGCTGATCTGTGATTGTTTGTAAATTGCACCGATTTGCATTCTTCATCATCATCGGAGCCCTACTATAGGAAAGTGGCTTCATCTGCTAACTTACTTTATCTGCATCGAAATATCTTTTTAAACCTCCAAATTGTGCGGCAATCCCTTGCAATCTTTTTATTTAATTTACAATTTTTTAGACCTATAAGGGTTAAACTGAGTTAATTTAAAGCCCATCTGCACCGTATTAAACGATCCGTGTTGTATAAAGATTTCATTTTGGTTGCCAAGGCGAATGGCTTTAATCATCATCGTTTGGCACTGAGACTGACATGCGTATTACCAATACATGCAATTATTCGTAAATGTAGGGCAGATTCTGTTGCCGCCTTCGGCTATACACACTCAAAAACAGTAACTTTGAATCATTCCTCTGTGTAAAACCTTGAGACATATTACACTTATGCAGGTTACGAGATTGTAAGACATTCGATGTTTGCTAAGCAAACAAATCAATGAGTTTTACTGTTTAACACAAGGCAGGCGAATGAATGAATTCTTCCTTACTAAAGGTCCATTTATTTACTCTGTTACTGATAAACATAAGACTGGGTCATGGGAAAGATTGCAAACAAAGCGTTCAAGTACCTATGTTGAATATATAGTCACAATTTGGTAGAATTATTGAGCGGTGACGCCAAAAATGCTCTTCGTCGAGTTGATAAAGCCAATGATGATTCGATATCTGCGGTAGCTATGGTGACCACAACCAACTGAGTTGATGATTTAATACTTCTAGGTTGGACTTGAGTGTCGAAGGTCTTTGTGGTTTATGCGTTCCGATTTGTGGATAAGTGGACACGCAGTACCCCGCCTCAAGAAATGTCTATTTCCCCTTTAACCTACTTTGCTCACTTGCCTGCCTGGACCAAATGTAGGCCGCAGATAGTGGCATTGTTGCTCGTCTTGCGTCATCGAACAGACATGGTGGGTACACGAATTTGTGTGGACATAGCGAAGAATCCGCTGAGTGCTATCAGTGCTCCTAAGTAAGCTAGACGGCAGCATTCACGACTGAAACAAACATAGTAGCAGAGTCTATTAATTTGTCTTAAAAGCTCGTTTTGTTCGTAGAGTATCGAATGAAATCGTTTGTATAGAATATTTAACTGTAAGATGATTCAAACTATTTCAGCAAGGAACTGAGGTGGCCTGAGGCGTTTTAAGTGCATCTAATTAGTTGAAAAGTTTATGCCTCCAGGTGGGAATAAGCGCTTTTTAACGTGTTTTTTAATGCAATACTTTATTCTTTTCTTAAAAGCATTCAAATTGTGGATGTAAATTTTTTTTGCTTAAGAAGCATTAGAAGAACAAGAGGGACCGACACCTGGTGTTGTAGTAGTACGAGGTTAAGCAGTAAACTCAGTCTCCGGTACATGTGACGACTTTGGACCCATCCTATTGGTTGATCGCAAAATGTCAATTATCCAATAGGCTGTAAGCTTGTGTCTGATCCCCTATAAATGTGATTGGTGAATCTGCCTTATTAATTCGGAGCGATTATTAAGCTATCGCTATATCGTAAGTCACTCAAGTACGAATTTCTCATTTTTTTAGTAGGTCGCAACGCAGTGATTAAGTTTTGTGGTCATATTTGCTTGCTCATAGGCTAAGGTTTTTGAGTTGAATTTTTGGACATAAATCGTTCAGCATGGGAACGCCTCCCGATCGTAAACACATTTTGTCTTCTGAGGACTATTATGATCCGTCTTCGCACCAACAAAGTTCTTCGTTTCAAATCCCGATCCCCACGGATTACTTGTACCAACAGCAATCTCAAGAGCGATACCTTGATTATCAGCAATCAGTGACATTTGATCGCTGTTTTGCCTTTCAAAACCCGATAAACCATGCAGTTGTGACAGTTTCCCAAAACACTGCACCAGGGGACGCGGTTGCCAGCATTAGCAGTAGAAACAGTGATAGCTTCAGTGGAATCAGTGAAATGACCACACTAATTGCCCCAACGGAAGACGGAGTTGCCGTTAGTAGCATTGTACCGGAGGCGAGGGAGAAATCGAAGAATGCTGCCCGTATTCGACGTATGAATGAAAATCATGAATACAAAATTTTGACGCACATGCTTCCTCTACCCGTTTCTGCCAAAGTGATGCTGGATAAGGCCTCCGTTATTCGGCTGACTACAAACTTCCTAGAATTGAGAAAACTGTTTTCTTCAAGTAAGTTAATGTTCCTAAATGTAGTTGCGCACATTCGAAAATCATTCCAGTTATTTAAATTGCGGAAAATGAACACAACGCTTAATTTGTTCTTCAGTAGCAGCGCAGTGATAAGGTCATTGCTTTATTAAGTAAAAAAGCCTTAGCCGAGTTGACAATTTCAGCATTGATGCACCGTATCCCATTTCAATTTGAATCCTGTGGGATTATCTAGCTTCTACTCAAATGTGTAGAGGCTGTGCTCCATAGCAAAATCGACCACACACCGTCCTTGTGTTGGAGTAATTGAGGGTGTCTGTTTTAACACGTTAATTTTGGCAAGAGATGTAGTCGCGATGAAGAAATAAACAATTTAAGGTGCAACTTAGACTCTATTTGAAAATTTTATTCAACCACAATGGATACGTGCTATGTGAGTCTGCTAACGCATTATATGAACAGACGACGAAGGATTCTCACGAATGGGGAGAGTGATAAGGGCGTTTTGTAGAACAATAGTCCTTGAAAGCAAGATAATTATGTAAAGAGCCAAAAAATGACGGATAATTTGGCTTAAACAACAGTCTTTTACTTTTTTTGTTCAATTAAGGCAGGCAAACGCGTCACTATTTTTTCTGCTGGTGGATAGTAAGGAAGGTAGTGAACAAAAGAAAAGATCTGGCAGAGGCTATCATTTAAGAGAACCACTCCTTGTAGCCGGAGTAAAGTAAATGATTGCCTTAATTTTGTAATACGTTAGCATCTGTTTATAAAAGGAATTGACATCCTTTATAGAAGAATGCATAGCAGCAACTATTTAGGATACGAATTTCTTTTCTATTCTAGGTGGTATCAATGAACCCCAAAGTTCGTTGAGCTCCTATAGTGACGGCATGCTTGAGGTAATTTCGTATTTCCCTGAAGGCTCTCGATAATCATTGTATTATTTGCTTATCTAAAATAATTTAGACACTGGATGGTTTCCTTTTAATTCTGTCCAACTCTCACTCGGTGACGTACATCGGTGATACTGTTAAAACATTGCTGGGCCTGGCTAAGGTGAGGAAGTTGAATTTTTTTGACGATACCTCTCATCTATCGTAGTGGGATTTGACAGGGACAAAGTTTATATCCATTGTCAAAGAAGAAGATCAAGAGGAATTGGATAACCTTCTCCGATTAAGCTCTTTGGAGATGAGGCAAATAAGTCGCCTAAATCCAGGTAAGAAAAGCCATAGACCTAACTGTCAGAAGTGGAATTTTTAACAGTCATAGACGATAGTAGAAAATCAAGTCATTTAGCCATTAGAAACATGGTGTAAGCACTTAAAACTGCAATGACCGGAACCGATAAAACATGCGATCCTGTAAAAATAGCTTTAACAAAAGTCACATTTAAGACCTCGCTGATTTTGCTTTGTTATTTGCACCTTCCCTATTTCCATTAGAAGCTCGATTCGAGCGCCGTTTTACCGTTCGCGTTAAATGCATCCTCTCCAAACGCAATAGTGGACTAGTCTCTGAAGGCTATAAGGTAGGAGTCACCTAAATGAAGGGCATATTGCTGAATGATGACTTGAGCATTATAACCTTTAATCCTAGGCTCTGCATTTCGGAGGCCACATCACAGCTAGGTTGTCACATGAGAAAGAAGGCTCGAAAAAGGTGATCCAACAGCTGTACGGAGTCGCTTCCACTCTGCCTGCAATAAATTGGAACTCGACTGAAATTAAGATGGGTCGGGATATGTTTATGCTTCGCACCAGTCTAGCCTTGGGAGTAGCTTATGCTGATGAACAGTAAGAATTCTACCTTCTGAGAACGATTCCATCCTCCACGCTTGCACTTACTCAATGCGTCCAAACTGTAAAATAGTCACACAGGTGCTGGAGGAAAGAAAACCCAAGGAGAAAAGATGAATGCTCAAATGACGTCAAAAATTTAAGCAATTACTTTTTTCCGATTCTCAGGAATTTCCACTCCATCATAGGCATTGATAACAAGTTAGGCTTTTAATCTGCTTGTTGGTATTTTTAACCGAGAAAAGCATGTTGGAAGGACTATGATGTTCAGCATGTTTAAAAATGTTGAACCTCGGGGTAACGCAAAACCAAGCTGACTCACGATCGCTAAATATATAATGCTGTCAAATGAATGGGTACTGACTTTTCAAATAAGCTGCCATCGATCTTGGACGTATTTATCTTTTTGTATAGACTTCAAGTCCTAACTGGTTATCAGGCCAGGGATATCATCGACACATCTCTATATCAGTTGATTCACGTCGAAGACGCTGAAGAACTTGCAGAGTGTCATGCAACTTGTAAGACAATTGCACCCTTTTCTAAAGGTCGGGACAAGCGTTTGACCAACTTCACTCTCCCTTTTGCAGTGTTGACCAAGGGTCAAGTGATAACTCGCTATTTCCGACTGCTCTGCAAATATGGTGGATGGGTGTGGGTCCAGATGCATGCAATACGCATCCGAACCGCTCGTGGATCAAAGTCAGACTGTGTAGTTGCCATTGCCTACGTCCTCACGTAAGTCGCCCATCGAAAATAATAATAGTGGATCTGCTTGCTTGTAATGCGTGGCTAAACTTGCTCTTCCTAGTCAATTCGCAAAAATTACTTTCCATTTAAATGACTTGTAGAAATTCTTCCCTGAAGTCCACACTTGCGCAAATATTTTTTTTCGAAAGCTAAGCCTACTTTTTGTTGGTGGTATAGCGGGAGAGCCAAAACAGTTTGCATCGAAACACATCGTAATGCCATCCTTATGCCTGAGCTAGCCTATATAACTCATCTTCTGGGATATTTGAAGTATTTCTTTTTCTCTATTGAATCTAAAGAAATATCATAGCTCTGGGGTCACATAATCTACCACTGTATTAATGTATTTCCCCGACTGTCACCCCTTTGCCAACCGGGAAAACCAAATTACTACAATATCACGTAGGCTTACTTCTGTCCACGTGGTTTTAACCCCGAGATTAAAACCAGACGTGCTAGGATTTTCGGCTTAGGTCAGTGACACTGCGTGACTAGAGTGTGCTTGATTTCTTCTTTTTATCCGTTTCCTCTTATTTGAAATTCCACGCTAGCACGTATTAGGGGCACGCAGGCGATCACCGCAACTTCTGACTAGCTCGATGCGTTGTGTTGACAATTTTAGCCACACCACCTGCATGTCCCAGTTACGTATAGCGAGTGCTTGCATCTCTTCATATTTTTCTATTCATGTACACACCCTCACATACACATGCGATTGTGGTTCGAATTCGTGTGTGTTGAGGTTTGTGACCACTTGTTAGATTTGCTACTATTTCAGCTGCCATCGTGGCCATTACACTTTCCAACGAATCTCGCTGAATCTGCACGTTCATGACCGATGTGAAACAAATAATCTTCTCTCCACCTTTAGTAGCATCACTGAAAATCCGAAATGAAACTTAAACCGTTCAACACATGATTAACAAGCAGCAGCATTAAGGGTTCCAGTTGTAAATAGTGATTCAAAACAATTAGTTCCTTTCGCGGTAGGATATGCATTTCTGCATTGTACTAATCCCAGAGTAAAAAATATTGTAACCAGCTATCAAAGTATCGGTGACCTAGACCCATTCGGACGGACCTGCTGCTCTCAATCCCTATAAAGGCTTAGGAGAGTAAATTTGAACTGCCATGGGACCTTTTACACACAGTTTAGAGCTAACATGTTCCTTTTTCGTTTTGTGAAAAGAGATGCCAACAGGCCAGGTGCATGTGGCTGCGAATTTGTGCTTTCGTGGCGCCACTATAAGTTCTTGAATTATGGCCCACATTTTCCACTATCAGCACGTAATTTGGATTATAAAATGAACCGGTTTCCTTATGCCCTGCACCGCATGTCGATTGCGCAGCTCAAAGAGAATTTGGCTGCTAAGTCGGGTGAAGCTATATCATTTCTCTCCTAGGCGCAGCCAGCTATCCAATATGAAGTTTGATATAAAACAGCTTCAGGGCTGTTCATTCGGGACACTAAATTACGAACGAGCGTTGATTTCAAGACCCGTTAATCACTGCGGACGCAAACGCTCCCACCCATCGCAACTTGCCTCACAAGTGCAGACTTCTCACTATCAAACCAGCTTTCCATCAAAACTTTCTGCTTACAATGCCAACTTTTATCGGAATCTGAACGGAGGTGTTGAAGGTGGAGGAGAAAACGTAATTCGCATATATCCCCCCTGCTCAATGCCTTACCGATCTCTGGTTCACCCAAATCAGCAGGGATTGGCAAATGATGCTTACGATAACCCAAATGGACTTTTGGTGCAACAACCTACTGAGGTGCCCGGTTCGGCGCCAAACTGGGGGACGGTGGGGGAACATCCGCATTACGGGGTACCTTTTAGTGGCTCCTCTGTGCCTCCGTCCTCAATTCCCTCCTCTTTTGGTTCCAGCAGCTACTTGGAGCAATTGAGGAATTATCAAACAGATGTCAACTTTGCTGACTGTTGGCAGGACACAATCTATTCCCACCAAAATTAGACTGCACTTGAACATCACAGCAATGTTATCTTCACTTACATCTATTTCAAATGTACATACCTTTAAATCATTAAGTGTCGTGCATTTGGCGCTGATATACGCTCGCCTAATATCTAAGCTGTTTATTTTGTGCTAGCACTTTGTCATAATGAATTATATTGCAAAAAACTGCGCCATTTTTGCTCTTCAGCTGCAGAGAGCTGGTAAAGCTTTTTTATTGCTATTACTGTCCAATTCTGACTCCAAGCTTTTAGCTTGCCCTTTGCCACTGATTTTAACTGCGAATTACTTGAACAGATTGCAGCTTTTAGCCTGGGCACAATTTGCGCGAAGTTAACACAAATGGTTCATTCAATTACAGTCGCTAGGCTTCACTCAAAACGTGATGGCCTTATCAGAAATTAGTCAAGCTTGCTGTTCCATATATTAGTTGTCAGAACTGCAGCTGATAGGGCTTCTTGGATGGAAGGGGGAAGGAAGAGGGGCGGAAGGTGTTGCCAAGGTATGAGTTGAGTGGTAACATAATCAGGGGGTTCAGAATAGCGAAAAATGTCCAGCTGGACGTAGTCGAAAGGGCGTTGGTAACTGACATTTGATCGGGTCAAAACATCTTTAGTCCCAAAATGAGCCTATATTTTTTAATGAGAAGCGTAAATATTAAATCAACAGTCGAGATTGTGCAGTAAGCCAGGCCCTCAAGATGATATCTCGCCACTTTATGACTTAAATGCAAGCAACGGCAAAAGAGCATTCAGACCAAATCAAATAGGTTTTTGAATGATTATGGATGCGTTTATTCCTTACGGGCTTTTAAGCTGATTTACTCAAAAAAAATTCACAAGAAAATCGCATTGTTTTGTGCAGTGGGTAAAAAACAAACCCACAACATGCGACGTACTTCTTTACCTCCATGGTCTTTAGAATTTAACACACAATAGAATAAGTAGTTATTCAACATTTGGGAGCCAACAGCAATATTTTGTTTAAGTGACTTTCTGACATACGGCGTTCGCTAAAGTATTCATATTGCCAAGGTAGGCGTAGGCTAGCCTTTGGACCATGCCATGAACCTACCTATTCCGCTTCTCCTAAAACTCAAGTGGTGATAAGCCTCAGATGCTACAAGAAGATAAAAGACTTAAAATTATAACTAAAAAATAGCAAAGTAAAACACTGAAAGTTTACAAGAAAGAAACAAAAAAAGTGATGTTAAAGAAAAATCTAATAAAACCGGAAAGAAAAGAGTATAAATGTAACAATAAAGAGGATTGTTAAAGAGTGCGAATCGAGTAACAAAGATGACAGTGGAACAATTCAACAAAAGGCATAAAATCAAACCCAAGATAAGAAAAACATGCACCCATGCGAACAGTAGGCAATGCAAAATGCTCATATCATCTATCACCGTTGCGCCCC